TATACTGACATGAATGCAGCTGGACTTATAATTCTCACATTATCTATGTTTCTTGAGTTATTATATCTTTATTGTTTATTTGTTTACTCACTGACGAAACCCGCGAGTTCATATTCGCATAATTTGTTTGGTTGTAAACCAATTGAGATGAAACAAACACTTCATTTTAAGTAAAGCTAATAAGTTTTCTAGCATTAACGTGCCCAAATGCACAGATAATTATTCCAGCAGAACGACCAAGAAACTTGAGTGTTGCTCTTTTAAATAATTTAGTTCTCCCCAAAAATAGACACGTAAAATTAGATGTAAATAGCGTTATGTTAATACAGTTATTTATAGATAGACGTATCTTAATGTAACTGTAAAATGGAGTTATCTATATATAAATTATATGCGTGTAAGTTATTGGATTAACTGTACAATTATGGGTGAAATGCTAACTTGGTTTTTTTCCATTCAAAGTCAATGGTTTAAAAATATCTTTAATAATAATAATAAATTTATTTGCAATAGATTTTGGGTGTATACATATATGTTGTACAAAAACATGGCCCTTGCAAAATCTGCTTATATCAAGCGTACAAATTTTAAGTTAATTTATTTATCGATTGTTTATATAATTATGAATTATTGTATGTATGTATATGTCAATTTGTATATAAATCTAAATGTCATGAGGAACAATTTATTATTTTAATATTCCAAAAACTCTTTAATTGAGTAAAAACACTTGGAAACTTCATTCATGCAGTTTTCTTTTAAATAATATTCCAGAGAGAGTTCTTATATCGTCAGGAAGCTTATTAAATATTTGTATCGCCATACAAAATGGACTCTTTTTTGGTCTGGATAGTATTATTGTAGGTACTTTTATTTTACTTGTATGGCTGTCGCGTACTGATTTATTCATCATTGTCTGTTTTAGAGGAATTTTTTTTTATATTTAATCTTTGATATTTCATCTCTGCTCGATATCGCATTTTAAAGAAACGTAGTGGTTTTTCAATTCATCTGTTTTTTTATGTGTAAATGAAGAATTTATTTTTATAACTGATTTTATGCTTGTTTGGTGTGTATGCAACATCATAGCTTCTAAACATTGTATTATCACTGAGTAGTTTCACGCAAGCAGCGCCGCGGTATATAGATAGAATTCTTTTTTCAATCGACTTCAAAAATGGAGAAGGATATCAATTCGGCTGTTATTTTTATTTCCATGTGCCGTATCTGAGATTTTTTTTTAAGGTGAATCAATTTTGATGATTATTTTTTATATTTTGTAAGCTGGTGGGTCCCGTGTGGAAGAAATAAAATATACAGACACATATAAACCTGGACAATTAATACAGCGCCATCTAGTCCAAAGTTAAGCAAAGCTTGTATTATGGGTAGACAATTGATACAAATACATAGATTTTTTTGTAAATAACATACATAAATATATATATAAAAACAGCTAAACGGATACAAACAATCATACTCATGAATATAGTACCGTGCGAGGAATCGATCCTGATACCATCGGAAGTAAGGCGGTATGCTAAACCATTAGACCACCGATGCCTATTTCTATTAACAATTTTTTTTATTTATTACTCTTTATGGCACCTCTAAAAAGTTATCTATGGTCACTTTTTTTTTAATATCAACGGTGTGGAAACAAGATGTCACAGACTATTGACGTACTATTAATTAAACTAATCGGAAACCGGTCGGGTTCAACGCTCGCTGGTTATTGACCAATTTGACCATATTATTTGGGCTTAGGCCATTTCACAAGTTTAATAACGGGCTATTAATTGCTTATTTCATTTTTTTTTACTATAAATATAGATAGATAGATAGATAGATATATCGTTTATTTGTTTGTTACTAATCACACACAACATGTTTATAAGAATATAAAATACATAATACGACATAAGATTTATAAAATTGTGTTATTATGTGTGATCTGTAGCAATACAAACAGGTCGAAGCTCAGCATGGAACATTGTTCAGGGAACAAAACACTGATTTTCAATGTATTTCTCTACAGATTATTAAATAATAGGTTACTATATTTCATTTTTTTTCTATAAATATAATATATTTCTCCACAGATTATTAAATAATAGGTTACTATATATGTTTATGGGTAAAAAGATTGTTAGTAATGTGGACTAATTCCAATTCAAAATATCTTTATTCATGTAGGTCTATTACAGACTCTTATGATATGTCAAATCTACCGTCAGTACGAAATGATTCCGAGATAGAACTGACAAGAAACTCAGCTTGTATTCTTTTCAAATAAATGTCTTACCTATTTACAATAATGCAGATTTTTTTTTTAATAAAATAGAATAGAAAATCATTTATTCAAATAAACTTAATTTAAGCACTTTTGAATAGTCAAAATTTTTTTTAAATCTACCGCTTATTCGGAAAGCTGTCTCATCACAAGAAGAATAAGCAAGAAACTTGTGTGTTGCTCTTTTAAACAATCCTTGTAAGTTCACATTTTACAAGTCGAAACGTGTGAATACAAACTACCAACCAGCACTAATTTATTTAGGCTCAAATATAAAAACACAATAAGATTAAATCAGTCGTAGTGATAAGATTCCATTCCATACCATTAAGATAAAATAGCATTTTTAAAGACAACCTACCAATTAAACCTGGATTCGAACTCGCGACGTCATCTATATATATAAATAAAATTGGAGTGTCTGTTTGTAATATAGAAATAATCGTTTTTTACTACATGCATATGAATATAAATACGGTACATACACCTAAATATTTTTTACAATTTTTGTCTGTCTGTCTGTCTGTTTCGGCTAATCTCTGAAACGGTTGGACCGATTTTGACAGCACTTTTATTGGCAGGTAGCTGATGTAATAAGGTGTAACTTAGGCTACTTTTATTTTCGAAAAATTAAATTAAATTCCACGCACACGAAGTCGCGAGCACAGCTAGTAATATTAACACCATTAAATTCAATTGCTTTTGGAAAATAAGATTCATTTTAGAAACAGTTATTTTTTAAACTAAATCTATAATATACGAGTAATTTTGAAGGTTAATTTGCAGTTTTAACTATAAAGCAAAATAGCATTTTTAAACCTGCTAATTAAACCCGGGTTCGAACTCGCGACCTCGTATAAATCTAAATCTCTAACGGGGAATAGTGTTGGTCGTAAAATTTAACAGTTATATAACCAGCTCATTTAACCGTTAAGTTGGGACAGTGTATTATCGATTGAAAACCCGTTTGTGGATGTTTGATGTATGTGTTTACATTTGACAGTGGTCATACTAGTTAACTGTTCAACAGAATTTAATTAATTAATATAATTATTATCCATTCAAAACTCAAATTAAAAAATTCAAAATTCAAAATTCAAAATTCAAAATTCAAAATTCAAAATTCAAAATTCAAAATTCAAAATTCAAAATCAAGAATCTAGATTCAAGATTCAAAATTCAAAATTCAAAATTTAAAATCCAAAATTCAAAATACAAAATTCTAAATTCCAAATTCCAAATTATAAATTATAAATTATAAATTATAAATTATAAATTATAAATTATAAATTATAAATTATAAATTATAAATTATAAATTATAAATTATAAATTATAAATTATAAATTATAAATTATAAATTATAAATTATAAATTATAAATTATAAATTATAAATTATAAATTATAAATTTATAAATTCTAAATTCTAAATTCTAAATTCTAAATTCTAAATTCCAAATTCTAAATTCAAAGTTTATTCATGTAGGACATTTTAGCCGCTTATGAACGTCAAGTTTTAACATTATATTTTTTTCCCCTACCGTCCAGTCCATAATCATATAATAAGTGTAGTTTTTAAACATAAATATTATTAAAAACAGATTCAACTCTCGTATAAAACAATTTGTTGGGGAGCATTATGGATTTCTCAGTTGGTTATTATGGTGATTGTAATAAAACTACGTAATTGTGGATAAATGAAAATAATTTACTTCCGTATATTGTGAAAAGATCAATTGCAATGAAAAAACAAAAGAAGAACAGTGACAAGAACATTAAAAAGTCTGTTATTTATTTAAAAGAGCAACACACAAGTTTCTTGCTTATTCTTCTTGTGATGAATCTGCATTCCGAATAAGCGGTAGAATCAAAAAACTTGACTATTCAAAAGTGCTTATATTAAGTTTATTTGAATAAAGATTATTTCTATTTCTATTTCTATATGGCTATAAAAAGGTTTTATTTCCAACACAATTCCTTTTTAAAATAGAATATTATAATATTGAAGAGTTCATTAACGATAATAATATTTTTGTAGAAAAACTTTAAATCCATAGCGCTGACAATATTATCTGATTGTACTAGGAATGAGTAGCGGTTTCTATGTTGATTATCGCATGCCTCTTACTTGTTATACTGTAATTATTTATATAAAAAAACATCTAATCAAAAGATCAACACACAAGTTTCTCGCTCATTCTTCTCGTGATGAGTCTGCGTTCCGAATGAGGGGTGGAATAAAAATTATGACTATATAAAAGTGCTTGTATTGAGTTTATTTGAATAAAGTTTATTTCTATTTCTATACTAGTGGTAGCCTATTATTCGAAATTTGAGTGCAACGATGGCTGGCTCATCCGTCATACTCGTAAACGGGTGCTGTTTGTTTAGGTTGCGAACATTGATTAGATTTTTTGTTTTTTGCAATATCATATGCTGGTGGTCACTCTATTCTCCCAAATTTGAATTTAAAAATGAATCTGTATTATTGTAAACATGTACAACATTTATTTGAAAAGAATACGAGCTGAGTTTCTTGTCAGTTCTTCTCATCCCGAAATCATTCAAGACGGTAGATTTGACATATCATAAGTCTGTAATAGACCTACATGAATGAAGATATTTTGATTTTTTTACAGGTACAAATTCCTGCCCCGTTCATAATGTGTTAGTAATATGCTTTTTTAATTGTTACAGATTTTGGACACAAGATGGCGTTGAACTCAATATGCCGACTAGTTCTGTTAGTCATTACAGTGCACTATGGCGCCGCGTCAGACTTTTTAAGTAGAAGTAAGTAACATATAAACTTATATATCATAACTACTCCAGTACTTGATCTACTTCATCAAGTACTAGAGTAAATAGAATATAATATAACATTACATGCATTATCTATTATCTATACATCTATACATATAAATAAAATTGGCGTGTTTGTTTGTAATATTGAAATAATCGTTTTTTACTACATGCATATGAATATAAATACGGTACATACACCAAAATATTTTTTTAATTTTTGTTTGTCTGTCTGTTTGTTCCGGCTAATCTCTGAGACGGCTGGACCGATTTTGACGGGACTTTTTTTGGCAAGTAGCTGGTGTAATGAGGAGTAACTTAGGCTACTTTTATTTTATACAAATAATAATAATTCTACGCGGACGAAGCCGCAGGAACGGCTAGTATACATATATATATATTTTCTCCATGACTCTCTATTTTGCACCTTTTTTCTACATTAAAGTTTTCTGACCTTCTCTTTCTCTGATTCTCCTACCTTCTTTATTTCATTCTGTCTGTCGGCTGTTTCCACTATATCATTGTCAGACTATATTAGATATGTTATACGGTATTTTTAATATATATTTTATTTATATTTATTTATAGCTTTATATATATTATGTGTATTATTTGTGTATTTATATGTACCTTTATAGAGTCGGCAACGCGCACGTGATACCCCTGATGTTTCAGGCGTTCATAGGCTATGGTAACCATTTACCATCAGATAGGCCGTATGCCTGATTGCCATTATCGTAGTATAAAAAAAAACCTTACAGTTTGGGCGCTTTCCCCATCCTACCATTGCCACTTCCACGTTCATATTTCAAGCAAATAAATACGTTTTATTTATATATATAATCTTCTCCAGCAATACGCCAAGCACCAGGCAGCATCTTCACAGTGGGCAGCGGGGAGCCGTGCCTGGGCTCCGACAGAAGCACCGGCGGCGTCTGCCTCTCCAGGAACCAGTGCAACACCCAGGGCGGGAAGGCCATAGGCTTCTGTGGAGTCTTCGCCACTTGCTGTTCTCGTAAGTATACCATTTATATTTCAAATCTGCAGATTCTGCCAAACTGAAGAGGAAACGCTACTACACATCCTATGTGGTTGTAGCCCACTCATGCATAAACGAAATATCTCCTTTGGAAGTATACACTATATCCTGAGGAGATAAAAACCATCGTTCCTAAGAATATCCTTCAATTGTTGTCCCTGACGAGTCTACGTAGCGAACTCTGAAAAAGGGCGAGCACAATAGATCTATGTAGGTCGCAGTGCTACAGGCACCTGACAATAGCCCAAACAACCCAATAAAAAAAAGTATACTATTATTTAAATCTATTCTAAATTTCAAATTCCTCCACCCGCGCACTTTTCTTAAAAAATAAATAAAAATATTTGTAAAAAGGGGTGCAAAGTTTTAGCTTTACAAAACTTTGTACCCCTTTTACAAATATCAATATAATAATATTTGTAGAAAGGGGTGTTGGACAATTTACGGAGCATCATCAAATCAAATCAAAATATCTTTACACATGTAGATCTTATACAGACTCTTATGTAATGTCAAATCTACCGTCAGTTCGGAGTGCATTCGTAAAAAGGGGTACAAAGTTTTTATGTATTATTTAATTATTTCAGCTACTAATCATATTATAAATACCTTATAGGACGATGTCTCCATCAAAATAGAGGATGACCATCTTCATGAAGGAGGACTACTGGCCGTAGAGGGTGTATAGTCACTACCGTGGCAGATGTCGTCAACGCCGTAATCACAAAGACAATTTAACACCCTCTACGGCCAGTAGTCCTCCTTCATGAAGATGGACATCCTCTATGTTGATGGAGACATCGTCCTTCATGAAGGTAGGCAGCATGTTGGTGGAGATATCATGATCATTTCTGTTGACAGTGAACGCGTGTGATGTAAGAACCAACACAAAAGTAGCAGTGTTCATCAACCCGCCGCTCAACAAGGAGTCTTCAGGCCTGGAGTGCTCCTACAATGTGGAAATTAACAATAACAACGTCTGCCAGATGAGGATCGACTTTGAGACCTTCAACTTGGCACCACCTACCACCGTTAGTACCTCATTATTATTTCATACTAGACCAGCAGTGTATACCCAGAGTTTGTGTTTCATCATCGAAAATGCGGGATACATCATTATTATGTCATTCTACACCAGCTGTATATTCACACCCAGGGTATGTAGGTGTTTAATCATCCAGAATCCTGGATACATCATTATTGTGTCATTCTACACCAGCCAGAAACTTTTTGCCACGCACAACCACATTGTGCAATCACCATCCAGCAATGGTATTTCCGAACCGATACTATGTTGAAACTTTCAAGAAATGAGCTTATAACTTCTTAAAAGGCCGATAACGCACTTTCAATTCCCCTGGTGTTGCGGGTGCTCATGGGCGGCAGTAATCACTTACCATCAGGTGAGCCGCAAGTTCGTTTGTCCCGTGTTCTATAAAAAAAATGAAGTGTAACTAATAAGAATATAAAGGGCTGGAAACCCACATACAATTTTTGTGTATTTTCTGTATATATTATTGGTTATATATGTCATTGTGACGCGTATTATTTATTGTACCTATTTCCACCACTGCGCAATTCCTCTCAGTAACTCAAAGGTTGACTGGAAGAAATCCCTCTTCTGGGATAAGTCCGCCATTGTACGCATGTTTTTTTTTTTCTAAGTCAATTGTGTCCTTTTATTTATAATATTATTGTACAATAAAGTATTACAAACAAACAATTCCCCTGGTGTTGCGGGTGCTCATGGGCGGCGGTAATCACTTACCACTAGGTGAGCCGCAAGCTCGTTTATTCCTTATGCTAAGAAAAAATCTAGTGTAAGAATATACGAGTATTTGTATTGTTCATCAGATTGAACCCGTCGAGAATGTGACCCAGCGTCCTGGTTACACGTGCAGAAACGACATCTTCCAAGTCACCAACTTGCAGGCCAACTCCGACTTCCTGCCAGCGTTGTGTGGTGACAACAATGGACAACATTGTAAGAATAACAATAAATATATTAGATGTTGGTGCTATACAAACTGTTTTAGCCGATCCTTCAGACAGTGCGGCTAAGGCAATTTGTTCACTGGTGAGGTAATGGAGAGATTGGTTTTAGGGTACAATGGGACTGACATGTACTTAGATGGTACAAAAGTCCCTAAATTTAAAAAGAAATAAAAAAAAAGAATAAGGATTATTTAGGATTTCTTTTTTTTCTGTTTCTCTTTTCATTTCATTTTGTTTCTTCTGTTTATTTTATTTAATTTTTATCTAATCAACAAAAAATAAATAAATAAATAAAATATTATATTTTTTAAGCTTTTTAATTTTAGGTTCTTAGTTTTACAATTAGGTTATGTAAATAAATTGATAATATTCAGTTACTATATGTGAATTTAAATGTCATATTTATTTATATTTAATAATTATGATTGTAACAGTGTATGTACGTGTGAACGCGTCAACAAACAGTCGCTCAATTCGTATAAACTTCAAGATAGCTGATCGCAACACGCAGCCAAATCTCCCACAGGCTACATGGAAGATCAAAGTCACTCAACTGGAATGCTTCAATACATTAGGGTAATTATTTCATTCTAAAGTTTTTTTTTCATAGAATAAGAAAAAAAAGAAAGTCATGGACAAAAATAATTTGCCGAGAAAATTTTGATAGTAACAGTTCTGTATGGCATATCAAAAACAAAATAAAAGTCATAGACTAAATTAATTTGCTGTCTGGATGGATGTTTATTACTTTTTAATGCAAAAAACTACTTGATTTTAATGAAATTTTACAATAATATAGCATATACATCAGAATAATAATCACTACATAGTATAAAACAAAGTCGCTGTCGCTGTCTGTCCGTCCATATGTATGCTTCAATCTTTAAAACTACGCAATGGATTTTGAAGCAGATTTAATAGATAAAGTGATTTAAGAGGAAGGTTTATATGTATAATACATGTACACCCGTGCGAAGCCGGGGCGAGTAGCTAGTAGGCTATAATTTAAAAATATATTAAGTAAATTGTGCGATATATAATTATCATTACATTACATAATATATCGTTTTAAATTACAGCCTATGAATTATTCTGGTGTACAAGAAATGTTACTGTAAAGTTTCATGAAAATCCGTTTAGTAGGTTTTGCCTGAAAGAGTACCAATCATCCATACTTACAAACTTTCGCATTTGTAATATTAGTAAGATCAGAATAACGTATAGGCTATAATTTGTACGCGGGCACAGCTAATCATAAATGAGAATTGGCTTCGCTCAGCGCAAGACGTGTCATCTCCCGCATTACCCAGTTACAAGGTGGAAAGTGCCCAACTCCCGTCGAGTTTGCACGGCTGCCGGCGAGCGTTCTATGTCAGTGAGTGTCTATGGTAATCAATGTCCAGAGGAACCCTCGGCTTTGGCAATGAAGCTTTTGGCCGAAGCTGAACGTTTTTATAGAGACGAATTTGTAATAACGCGCGCGTAAGAACTTTATGGAGACACGAAAAAAATGAAAGATTTATACGTGCATTATAATCAAACTGCTTATGAAACTTTTAAATTTTTTGAGAAATAATTTACATTGGCTCCAAGCGTTTTTTTTATACACCTAATTTATTGTTAACTAGCTTTTTAGCATTTATCCCCTTAGAGATGGAATTTACCAAAATCCTTTATTAGGGGATGCTACGTCATAGTAGCTTTATGCATGCAAAGTCTCAGCCCGATCGGTTTAAAATTGACAAAGTTTCATACAAACTTTCATCCCTTATTTTATCCCCTTGGGGGTAGAATTAATCAAAAACCTTTCTTAGCGTATGCCTACGTCATAACGTGTACCTGTATGCCAAATTTCAGCCCGATCCGTCCAGTCAAACCACTGTGTCAGTCAGTCACCTTTGACTTATATACATATGTATATATATATATATAGATGACTTAATAATTACACTACTAAGAATGGCTGGTGGCGTAACAATGCTGGACCACAACAAAAACGTTCGAGGCAGTTTTAAGATAACGCCCATTTTGGAGATTTTGGAGAATCGTCTATGGTGGTACGGTCGTGTCATGCGGCTACCATCAGACCACATGACTTACTTACTTTTTTTATGCTACCATGGTGACAAACAAGCATACGGCCCATCATCGTAAATGGTTACCGTAGCCTATGGATGCCATAAACACTAGGGGTGTCGTGCGAGCTGCTGAACCTTATAAAAACCCTTCTTGGAATCCCCATCCTAGAGTCTATCAAGAAAACCTCGGCAGGTAGTTTATTCCACAATCTAAGTGTACGCGGGAGGAAGATCCTCTGAAACCGTACTCTCCGAGACCACTTATGTTCCAGCCTGTGGGGATGAAATCTTGAGAAAGCATACTGTATTTACCTAACTTGAATTTTATTTTTTTATTTCAGAAAATATCGAGATGGTCTATTTGAGGCTATTACATCTTCTCTACCTGCGACTCCTCTCTCCTCGTCTGCTGACAGAGATGAATACTTAATCGGTTGGTTTTACTTTTCTCTGCTTTATTATTTTTTTTTTAAGTGACTGGAAGACCAAAGAAACTACTTACTCGTCTAATATTTTGAATTATAAACTCCTCTTTTAACGGTGAGAGATGCTAGTAAATTTACAGGTGTATCGAAGCATGTGTTTTTTTTAATGATGATAATGAAATGGTCCACCTGCCTGCGCTAACGGTATACGCTGGCGGGACACCAGTAGAGGATGATGAACATGAGTTCAGGTTAGTTAGCCCATCGTGACAAATTCAACAGGAATTTATCTTGATAGTTTCCAGGATGTACCCCGTGGAAAACAATAGCATATTAACAAAAAAAAATTTGAAAATCTATGTATTTGTATCAGTTACACAAGCTTTAACTAGTTTAACTTAGGACTAGATGACGCTGTGTAAATTGTCTTGAGATTATTATTTTTTTTTTTTCCCAAATATTCTCATCTCCCCTCTTAAGGAGAGGAGATGGCAACATACCCCCGGCAGAAGCACAGTCGGCCGGGGTTCAGGGCCCCAGGGAGAGAAACCGGCGTACAATGCGGGCAGAATCTAACAGATTATTATTATATTATTTATATAATTACAAAAAAATGTATTATCTGTCACTTGTCTAGTACCCTAAGCCTAGTATCATAAGCCCCGCCTAGCTTGGTACTAGTCTGTCTATGTTTAAGATTACTATTGTATGTTATACCTTCCAGCTCCCCCTGGCTGCTTGCAGTACTACCCTGATCGTTCAGGAGCATTTGAATCCTTCAATTACAACAGAGGTAGTGGCCCTTACATCGCCAACTTGGCTTACGCTGCCTGCTTCAAGAAGACGCCTGATGTTTGCGGAGTCAAGTAAGTTCATTGGTTTTATAGACTTCTAAACAGGAGGTTCTCGATTCAGCTCTAGTGTTTTTATGTTAGAGTCAAGTGAGTTAGTTAATTTTCTACCGACTTCTATAAAGTAGGATCTCGATTCAGCTCTAGTTTTTTGTATATTGGAGTCAAGAGATTTCGTCAATTTTCTACCAACTTTTAGAAAGTAGGTTCTTGATTCAACTGTAGTTTTTTCATGTTGGAGTCAAGTAAGTTCGTTAATTTTCAATCGACTTTTATAAAGTAGGATCTCAATTCAACTGTAGTTTTTTTCATGTTGGAGTCAAGTAAGTTCGTTAATTTTCAATCGACTTCTATAAAGTAGGTTCTTGATTCAGCTCTAGTTTTTTTTATATTGGGGTCAAGTGATTTCGTCAATTTTCTACCAACTTTTATAAAGTAGGTTCTTGATTCAACTGTAGTTTTTTTTATGTTGGAGTCAAGTAAGTTCGTTAATTTTCAATCGACTTTTATAAAGTAGGATCTCGATTCAACTGTAGTTTTTTTCATGTTGGAGTCAAGTAAATTCGTTAATTTTCTACCGACTTCTGAAAAGGTGGTTCTCGATTCAACTGTAGGTTTTTTAAGTTCTTTATAAAAGAACTGTTCTGTCTGTGAACTCTGTCCTTTTTTATAGTAACATTGATTTTGATAATACTTTTTATTTAAAGGTGCATTTTTTAGAAATATTCTAATGCTGTTGGCTGTATCTAGCCTTTACAGCTGCATTGAATGATAGTGGCGATGGGTGGGGGGAGTGCAGATGGCACTCCAAACCGATTTTATACTCCAAACCAAAGGAAGGACTTATGGAGCGGCTGAAGGCCAACTCCCGCCTGACGGATACTACTTTAGTCTGAGGGCACCGCTAGGGGTTCGAACTTCGGCTCAGGCCGTCGTAATTTCGATCCCCGTTTCGTTTAAATGGGACGGGGGATCGATTGGAGGGACATCATTTTTGCGTGAAAGAGTAACATCCATCTATATTCACATACTTTCGCGTTTAAAACGTTTAGTTTACTCATTAATTGTAACTATATTCTATAATTGTATAATGCATATAAATAGACGATATAATAGAGATATAAATCACTCTATTCTCCCAAATTTGAATTTAAAAGTGAATCTGTATTATTGTAAACATGTACAACATTTATTTGAGAAGAATACGAGCTGAGTTTCTTGTCAGTTCTCATCTCAAAATCATTCCGAACTGACGGTAGATTTGACATATCATAAGAGTCTGTAATAGACCTACATTAATGAAGATATTATGATTTTTTTTAATGTTATTCTATCTATCTATCTATCTAAATTTCAGATTAACAGCGGCCAGTTTCGAGATGGCGTACAGAACAGAAGACAACCTCTACCTGGACACGGACTGTCAGATCAACCCCGTCACGCAGGGTACTCCGCAATCAGAGGACTACCTGTTCATCCCTGAATCGGAGACCGCTGATGGTCTGCGAGGGTCGAAGTTCTGTGGGAGCAGCGCTTCTAACCAGATCATAGCTTGTAAGTTAAGGCCGATGGCCAGAAAAATAAGTGGTTTAACACAGTTTTCAAATCTAAATTTAATTTTCTCATTGCTTTCTTGATTTAATTGATTGATTTTAGAAATATGAAAGCGTAGCGGTTTTTGTATTGATTGCCGCATGCATTCTTATGTAAAATGTGAATACTATAACTATCAGATGGCAATTGTAAGTAGCTTTGACGTGGTCTAGTGTTTTGAGTAGTCATGCTCACTAAAATGTCCAGACTTGTGGTGGCGTGGTGGGCCGGGTCATTGGGCTCCCTAAAATATGGTCGAGCGCAGTGATGGCTGGCTCATCCGTCATACTCGTGAACGGGTGCTGCTTGTAGGAACTGGTCTGCTCTAATCACTATGACTGATTTCCTCTTATTAATTGTTTAACCAGTTGGTTATATATTCAATATTTTTTCTATTTGAGTATTTAATTGAATTAGTGCTAATTGCTGGTTTCTATTCACACACTTAAGCTTAAAAATGTAAAGTAATAATAAAATTATTTAAAAGAGCAACACGCAAGTTTCTTGTTCGTTCTTCTTGTGATGAGACAGCTTACCGAACGAGCGGTAGATTAAAAAATGTAATGACTATTCAAAAGTGATCATAGTAAGTTTATTTGAATAAATGATTTTCTATTCTATTCTATTCTAAAATCATGTAGGACATTTTAGCCGCTTATGAACATCAAGTTTTTGTATTAATAATTTTTCCCTCATGTCCAGTTCAGTATACAGATTCGATTGTGAAGAACTGGCAAGAAACTCAACTGAATTTCTTTTTATTAAAGCCAGTTTATTTACAATATATATTTATATAGGTGTCTATGTCTAACATTAAATGAAAATCTCGTGCATGAACAACTATTGCCATGCACGTTTGTCATTTACTTTTGATGGTCGCGGGTTCGATTTCTCGCACAGTATAAACATTTGTATTCATGAGTATGATTGTTTGTTTCGGTCTGGGCATTATATATGTACTTACAAAAAAATGTATCTAAGTATTTAAATCAGTTGTCTAGTACCCATAACACAAGTTCTGCTTACCGTGGGACTAGATGGCGCTGTATGAAAAGTATCCAATGACAGTTTTTGTTTAATACTTATTATCTTCTTTGTTCAAATAAACTTTTGAATAGTCATAGTTATTTTCTTAATCTACCGCACTTTCAGAAAGTTTTCTTATCACAAGAAGAACGGGCAATAAACTTACGTGTTGCTCTTTATCTTCTATATAGATGTAATAACTCATAATTTCCAAAGAATATATTTAAAATTAGGTTGTACAATATTTTACCTTTGCCTTTCCACCTCTGTATAAATATATATAAGTTCTACTATTTATAGTATGTTTTTCTTTTATAGCAACACCACCCGGCCCGCTCTACGTACACTTCCACAGCGACAACCTGGTCACAGACGATATAAACGAATATGGCTATAGATTCAGTTACAACGTACTAAATAATTGCTACTTGAGAAAATCTGTGAACGTTTAAGTTTTAATTTAAAATTAAACTTTTGAGTGCATAGAGAGGTTGCAAATAGCATTGCTTATTAGTGTTGCCAACCTTGACAGCTTTTTATTTGACTGAAATGGCAACGTAACTTAAATTAAAAAATAAAATAAAGTGAGTGTATAGAGAGGTTGCAAACTGTAAATGGAATGACAACCCATCTGATGGTAAGTGGTAACCGTCGCCTATATACATGAACAGCATCACGGACATCACGTTATCATGTAACCCGTGATACCACTCATGCGTTGCCATTCCAAAGTACTAAGCTGTCATGCCTCTATCAGGTAATGTCACTGTTGTACAACCAGCTTATAAAGCTAGCTGTTGCCAATATGTGACAATGTCATATGTGCCCACGCAGATGACTTTGTACAAAGTCACTTTTTTTATTGAACTGGTGCAGTTTTGTCATAAAATCAAGCTGTTACTAATATGTGACAAATGTGACAATGTCATATGTGCCCACGCAGATGACTTTGTACAAAGTCACTTTTTTTATTGAACTGGTGCAGTTTTGTCATAAAATCAAGCTGTTACTAATATGTGACAAATGTGACAATGTCATATGTGCCCACGCAGATGACTTTGTACAAAGTCAGTTTTTTTATTGAACTGGTGCAGTTTTGTCATAAAATCAAGCTGTTACTAATATGTGACAAATGTGACAATGTCATATGTGCCCACGCAGATGACTTTGTACAAAGTCACTTTTTTTATTGAACTGGTGCAGTTTTGTCATAAAATCAAGCTGTTACTAATATGTGACAAATGTGACAATGTCATATGTGCCCACGCAGATGACTTTGTACAAAGTCACTTTTTTTATTGAACTGGTGCAGTTTTGTCATAAAATCAAGCTGTTACTAATATGTGACAAATGTGACAATGTCATATGTGCCCACGCAGATGACTTTGTACAAAGTCAGTTTTATTAATCGAACTGGTGCAGTTTTGTCATAAAATGAAATTGCTAATATGTGACACATGTGGCAATGTCATATGCTGTTGCTAATATGTGACACATGCGACAATGTCATATGCTGTTGCTAATATGTGACACATGTGACAATGTCATACATGACTTAATACAAAGTCAATTATTTAAGTAATTCTGGTACAGTTTTGTCATATTTATGATTTATTTCATTTGCAACTTATCGCGAGAAGCACTGAGGAATTAGCATTAGAATCGTGCTATATTAAGTGTAAGAGATAAGTTAAATTTTAGTTACGTTTAAGCTGGAAGATTAATATAATATGTTAAGTTAAGTTTTAACTCTTTGATACCTCTATAGAGGTTAAAATAAACTCAACTAGTTTACTCAACTTGTTTAAACGTAATTGAATCTCAGATTATGTTTAAGTATAGAGAATCATTAGGGTGCTTTAGCCAGAGGTAACATTTTTTTTAATTGCTTCGTTTGCAATTTTTTTTTAATTTTGTTTTGTTTTTAATTTCTAACTGTATAGTGGATACTGTATGTTCTGTGCAGTTTTTATTGTTTTTGGTTTCAGTATCTGTTCTTACGAAATAAGTATAGATACTTGTTATTTTATTTTTTCAAAATGTTTTTGTTTTTTTTTTTTTGTATAAATTTTCTTTTTTTTTTTTTTGGTATGAAGTTATAAAATGAAATGTAATTTTTTTTAATTAAGTTTTTGGTTCGGTTACAATTTTTTTTTATATTTGTTTACATGTTTACATCTGGCTGACGTATGGATATACTGTATAACATTTGTAAGGACTGAATTGTTATTTACACTAATGATAACACTCATATTGCATTTATTAGAAAATAAATTATCATGCAAAAGATAAAGGATTTTCAATTTCAAAATAATTTATTTATATTTGAACGATTTAGTGTATGAAGAGTCGTGGCACATTCAGAGAGAAATCCTTTGGTATCTTATTGTAAACTAGCTTTAGCTAGCTAAACTAGGGAGTTTAACTTTATTTTTCTAAAATAAAAGTAGCCTAAGTTACTCCTTATACCAGCCAAAAAATGTCCCGTCAAAATCGGTTCAGCCATTTCAGAGATTAGCCGGAACAAACAGACAGACAGACAAAAATTGTAGAAAATGTTATTTTGGTTCATGTATCGTATTTATATTCATACATATGCATGTAGTAAAAAACGGTTATTTCAATATTACAAACAGACACTCCAATTTTATTTATATTTTATAATTTAAAAAAAAAAATTATATGTATAGATTTTGATATCGATTCCCATAAGACTTTCTCTACTCCAATAGAAATAATCTTCATTCAAATAAACTCATTACAAGCACTTTTGAATAGTCATATTTTGATTCTACCACTCATTCGGATCGAACGCAGATTCATCACAAGAGGAATGAGCAAGAAACTTGTGTGTTGCTTTTTAATTGATGTTTTTTTTATATATTATATATAAAGAGGCTAGTTCCTCTATTTCGGATACCTCGTCATCAGAACCCATGTTGGGCATGGTGTAGGCAAGAAATAATAAAATCATCTAAATAATAGTTAGTGAAACATATTAAAATATACGATTAATATAAAAACAAAAAAAAATTACAATCACAAAAACTTTCTCTTAAATCACAAAAACAAAAAAAAACATAAAAACAAAAAAATAAAACTAAAATCACAATAACTTTCTCTTAAATCACAAATTCAAATAAGATAAAAATTTTAAAAATTGAGTAATTCATAACCATTACTAAATACGTCTTAAGGGGGTCTTCCTATGTGATGGGTTGAAAAAATCGATTTTTTTTTTTTTTTTTCATAAATTGCTCCCTTAACATGTCTAGAATACGGTAGTAAAGCGATTTTAGAAAATTCGAAGTCGTTTTAAAGATACAGCAGGTAAAAGAAAGAGCGGTTCGGAGCGGTGAGTTGGCAGTTAGAGACCGGGCCTATTGTGTACCGTCGGCTTTATACCTGGCCTCCCTTTTATTAATATATTTGTTTATACAAGTTTAGACACGTTTCTACAGACTTAAACAGAAATTTCTATTGTTATAATATTTTACCGAAGTTATTTTAGTCTTGGTTGAACTTCGAAGAGAGCAACAGCTACAAATTATTTTTTTTCATACTGAGTGGACGGAAAGGAAGTACGAGTGGAAATGTTCATCCTGGTCGTAGTAAAAAAAGAAAGTTTAGTGGAAACCGTTTTACCCACCAAAATGATACGGTATTTACATCAGCTTCGGCCAAAAAACTTAAAAATAACATGAACATGAATGTTCCCATCGCTTCGAATTTCGCATATTGCATTTTGGAGTTTGTTTCTGTATTTGCTGCAATCTCTGAAATAGTTATATGTAAAACTTGTAAAAGTGACGTGTAATAGACACGTCACTTTTACAAGTTTTACATATAACTCGCGATCAAGTTTCCGAGGCCTAGGCTTTTAAATTATTTTATCGTGTGAGTGTGAAAAACAGACAGTTATAAACTCAGGCCCGTTGATCGGAAATGCATTTGAGGTTAATCGTCGGTTTGTATTTGAAGGTTTTCAAGGTATTTTAAAAGTTATGTCGATTATGGGATGCCCTGTTGGTCGTGAAGCCCAAGCGTATGTTGAGAAACGGGATGAAAAGCGAATCTTACGCTCTGAGCGGCGCGTAAGTGATGTTAAACAAGCCAGGATTGACTCAAGAGCTAAACAATCTGCTTTAAAAGAGTTTCACGAGGAAGAGGAAGGAATACTCTATGGACCAGGTATCGCCGATTGAGAGTAAGTTGATATTTTAATAGTTTTTAACGGACTTGAAACTTTAAACGCGTTTTTCTCAAAACTGTGTTTTTCAAACTTTCCTCCATTGTATCTCAGAAACGGCTGGACCGAATTACTTGAAATTTACAGGGCACACTCAATATATGTAAACGCATGGAATGAACAATTATCAATCGAAAATTTTCAAAACTTCGATTTTTTTATAGCAAAAAACAAAAAAAAAACGCCTAATTTGCAACTTTTATTTCAAATGTCTATCAAAAATCCAATTTTTTTTATATTCATTTGATTATAGGTCATTCCGTGCTTTTAAGCCTACAAATTAAAACGCCGTTTTTTTTTTTTTTCAGATAAGCCGATCAGCCGGCATCGTGGAGGAAGTGGGAGCTCTTTTTTTCGAGGCGGGGGTGTTCAGAGCGCTGTAACTCTAGTTTGACTGAATATTTTTAGCTGAAATTTTATATTTATACTGTCCAAATATGTGTTAATAAATGATAAAAAACTTGAAGCTTTAAATATTTACTGGTCGTAGAAAAAAAATCCTAAAATATCCCTAAAAAACAGGCCGTCACATAGGAAGACCCCCTTAATTCAAAATATAATCATCTATTCACTCACTACCGATAACAAAATAATAAATCACCAACAATCAGCCAGATGAAAACGGATTATTCAGGGAAACACGGCAATTTCGGTACAGAGTGCATCACAAACTCACGCTCGCGCCCAATTCAAAAGTGACGTTTCGTAATTGTTGTTAAAACTGCTTTACTCTGTACCGACCTCACCCAAGCAAACCACTTGACGTTTCAGACAACGATAATAGAATAGAATAGAATAGAAAATCATTTATTCAAATAAACTTACACTGAAGCACTTTTGAATAGTCATTACATTTTTTAATCTACCGCTCATTCGGAAAGCTGTCTCATCACAAGAAGAACGAGCGAGAAACTTGCGTGTTGCTCTTTTAAATAATTTTATTATTACTTTACATTTTTAAGTTTAAGTGTGTGAATACAAACCACCAATTAGCACTAATTCAATTAAATACTCAAATAGAAAAAATATTGAATATATAACCAACTGGTTAAACAATTAATAAGAGGAAATCAGTCATAGTGATTAGAACAGATTAGAATAGATGGCGCTATTCTAGTAGAAATTAATCAATTGAGCCTCTTTGTCGATTCTGCGACATATATATAAATGGATGGTACTCAGGATTAAATGAAATACAAATATAAAAATTAAAAATTTATTATAATTTTTAAATAAATACAATAAAATATATCTGTTTTTAAATATAATAACTTGGAATTATTTCTGTCTACACCCCGCACAGTACGCGTGAAGGTAACAATATAACACGTAATAAATGCGTTTTTTTTCCTTACAAATTATGACTAAGTTACTATACAAAAGTTTTTAAGTTGTCTGAACACAATATTAAAAATAATTGATAAAAAAAATAGTACTGGGTTATAGCTAGACCCAGTATTTAAAAAAAAATGATTAAAAAATAGTACAGCTCATTAAAAAAAATATCTGAAATCAATATTTATAGAAATAATAAAAAATTGTCGAAAAAAATTAAAAAATAGACTCATCATCATCATCGCAGCCTGGAAGACGTCCACTGCTGGACATAGGCCTCCCCCAAAGGTCTCCACGACGATCGGTCCTGCGCTTCTCGTATCCTTTCCAGCGATCTTGATCAGATCGTCAGTCCACCTTGCTGGAGGCCTTCCCACGCTGCGTCTTCCGGTCCGTGGTCGCCACTCGAGGACTTTACTGCCCCAACGGCCATCTGTCCTACGAGCTATGTGCCCTGCCCATTGCCACTTCAAAGTCGCAATTCTTAATTATTAATAGAGTAATTATTAAAAATTCTATTAGTCTGAACTCAATATAAAAAAGCTTAAAAAATATCAAAAATCATTATTTATAAAAAGGTTTGAAAAAATGAGTAGTTATTAAACAAATGTCTGAAGTCATTAAAACATAGTACTGGTTTAATAATAAAAAAACAATATTAAAGCCCAGGGTTGTGAACTTTCAGTGTTACATAAATAACAATTATGTACTATTGTTATTGTTTGTTATTTAAAAATACAATATAACAATGAAAATTAATGTATATTTGATTTTACATATAACTACAATAAAAACTTACAATTTTTTATATGTAATTAAAATGATAAACAACCTGCTAATTTACTTTATGGTATGTGATACGGACATCACGTTATCATGTGACGCCCGTGATATCACTCAACATTGCTTTCAGCAATAAGACCGCCTTATTGTAACTATGTATTTCCTTTACTGTATATTACAAATAATCTTATATAAAAAATTCTCGTGTCACAGTTTTCGTTCCCATCATCATCTATTTTATCTTGTAAAAGAGTTTCTCTGCGTGATCGAATCAGAAATTAATAGATCTGCAGAAGAACCAGATTGACCGACACAGCCCGAAGAATTGCGACACTGAAGTGGCAATAGGCAGGACACATAGCTCGTAGGACAGATTGCCGTTGGGGCAGTAAAGTCCTCGAGTGGCGACCACGGACCAGAAGACGCAGCGTGGGAAGGCCTCCAGCAAGGTGGACCGACGATCTAGTCAAGATCGCTGGAAGGCATTGGATGGGAGCAGTGCAGGACCGATTGTCGTGGAGATCTTTGGGGGAAGCCTATGTCCAGCAGTGGACGTCTTCCAGGCTGCGATGCTTGTAAAAGTCGATTTTTACGGCTTTAGATACTCTATTAGTGATCCATTCCCAGCAATGGGCCGCCATTGGATATGTACGATATGGTAGTATAAATATAAAGTTTATTAAGTTATGTACAAGTTAATAATGAATTAAAACAATATATTAACTATTTTTAAATTTAAAACAAATAGTTTACAGAAAGGTATCATGTAAAAGTGCATGAAAAAAAAACAATTAAATCACGTATCGATGGCCGGAAAATAAAAATAAACATAAGCATATAAATATTCATAATATGATTATATAATAAATGAAAAATATTTACAAAAAAATTCGATAGAGATCCTTGTTGAAAATATATATTATAAAAATTTATTTATTTATATAGAAAAATACAATTTATGAAATGTTTTTACCTACTATATAATATTGTGTTCATATATCCTTAACCTATTTTGAATTTTGGTAATTATTAATAATAAAATATTTTAGTTTTATTTTCTATTAACTAACCCGCCCCGGTTTCGCTCGGGTGTACATGTATTATACATATAAACCTGCCTCTTGAATCACTCTATCTATTGCTGAAAACTGCAATAAAATCTGTTGTGTAGTTCAAAAGATATAAACGAACAGACACCGGATTTTATACTACATAGTATAAAATTATTCATTCTTTTTTTATACCACTCTATCTCAATTTATCTCAAAAGCATTTTCGAATAATTTTGAAATCTTTACATAAAGTTTTTTATACTATTCGAAAATGTTATTGTTTGGAAAATACTAATGTTTCCATTATTTATAATTATAAAAAGTCGTTTAATTATAACATACCTACAGCAATTTCCTCAACATACTTATATCAAATAATAAAAAAAAACAATATTATACATTTATTATATACACAAAAATGATGTTCCATTTTCTGTTTAACATACTAACTAAAAAACTAACTTAAATATGACTAAATACGACTAAAGTTATATTATACTATATTTATATACTAAACGTTGTATAAAGGGATATCTACAATCACATTAAATAAGTAAATTTAGTCCTTAAAAGCAGTCTTATATACGAAGCCTTATGTATATATATATATAACACTACATCGACAGAAAAAGTGGAATTATCGTAAATTGTTCGTCATGATGCCGACAGCCACCTTTTACCACCGCACCGCTCGCCATCGACAGGGAATTCATCCCCACACACTGGAACCTAAGTGGTCCCGAACAGTGCGGTTTCAGAGGAGCTTCCTCCCGCGTACACTTAGATTGTGGAATGAACTTCCTGCCGAGGTTTTCCCACGAGACTACAGCATGGGGTTTTTCAAGAAGGGTATATTAAGGTTTCTTAAGAGTCGGCAACGCGCAAGTGATACCCCTGGTGTTTCAGGCGTTCATAGGCTACGGTAACCATTTACCATCAGATGGGCCGTATGCTTATTTTCCACCATAGTAGTATAAAAAAAAACAACTTTATTCCAAAGCCAAAAAACTGTTCTGCCAAAGCCAAAAAATTTATATACATACAATTTTTTTTAACAATTTTCGACTTTCTATCTCAATAAATATATAAGTTATGGATTATTGATATAAAATAATCTTAAAGAATGTTTTATGAAGTTACAATAATTCCACTTTCTTCTGTTGATATTTGCTAAAAAAATCTGTCCAAAAATATATTATACAATATATTGGACATACAGAGGTAAAATATTACAGTGTTGCCAATTGTTAGACAAACGTTTATATCCTAATAAAGTTCTCGATGACATAAATTTAAAAAGCAACTGGCAACACTATTTATGTAATTTTAGATAAAATTGCCGCCAAAATATTATTTCATATAATTTTCAATTTATTTATTAAATAAATTCGTTTACCTATAAAAATAGGGTTAATAACGATTTACCAATCGGTAACCCTATACGACGCAAAACAGTATGCAATCATATTTATGTACATAACCCTATATCATTTTCGATTTAATTGCTACCAAAAAATTAGCAACACTATTCATATAGTTTTTAAATTCATTGACGCCATCAAACATGTACATACATATATTTTTCAATAATTCTCTAAAAATTTATCCAGAGCCTTAAAAATAAAAAAAGTCATTTTAAATGGCGCCAAAAAATTTCCATCATTCAAATAAATAGTTCATTAGCGCCAAAATAGTTCCAATTTGAAGAATTTGACAGAGCAAATAGCGTTGTAGGTACAAGGGAATAAAGTTTATTTTCCCATACAAGAATACTGGCCACCGATACTTATAAATACTACGCGCGGTAAAATGGCGGACCACGGCTCACCGTGTACGTAGAGAGAGGTATGCCTTTGGTTCCGTAGATGGCTTCTGGCGCATTCTCGTATTCAACATCGTAATATATACCCGTTTGATTCTGTTAACAATAAAATAATATATATTAATACTAATTAATAATCGTCTATCATGGTATGGACATGTAATGCGTAGGAATGAGGATAATATTTTAAGGAAGGTGTTACATATGAATGTGGATGGTTATAAGGGCAGAGGAAGGAAAAAGAGATGGATGGACTGTGTGAAAGATGATATGGTAAGAAAGGGAGTAAATAACGAGATGACTGCGAACAGAGATGAATGGAAGAGAAAAAATATTACGACGACCACAAATAAATGGGAAAAAGAAGGAAGAAGCAGATGATGAATACAACAATAATTATCCAGGATAAATCACACAGCGCCATCTTGTCCCGAGCTAAGCGTTTTGTTTTGTCTTATCCATATCCACGTGTCTAGAAACTACAATAATGACTTCTAATGAATAATAATAAATCCACACTAATCTCCACTGATTAATTCTGACGCATAAACTATATTATTGTAGAGTTTCATTAAAACTAATTCAGGAATTTTTGCGAAATAAGAGTAAACATCCATCCATACACACTCACACACAAACTTCCGCGTTTATTATATTAGCAAGATAATCATTAATAATAATCTCAGGACAATTCACACAGCGCCATCTAGACCCAAGTTAAGCTAGCTAAAGCTTGTATTATGGGTACTAGATAACTAATACAAATACATAGATACTTTTTTTTTCGTCAATACATACATATTATACATAGAAAACAACCAGACCGACACAAACAATCATGCTCATGACTACAAATGTTTCTGCCGTGCGAGGAATCGAACCGGCGACCATCGGACGTTAAGCGGTGTGCTAGACCGCAAAACTACCGAGGTCGTCCAGCGAGAGATGAGTGACTTACGTGCATGCTTCTTGCCCTAGACTTCGGTCTGGGTACAAGCAAGTCAGCCCGCTCCTGAACGTGGCTGGAGGCTTCGGAACTCGTAGACTCTGTCGCCATATGGTTCGTGTAACCTGGTAAACAATTAATTGAATCTCAAAAGCGGGTCAATAATATTATATATATATATACTAAAATCCCGGAAACCATAAAACAAGAAGATAAAATTAATTTATTTAAAAAAAGGCTTAAAGAACTACTGACCGACAAAGCTTACTATACAGTAAAAGAATTTTTAAGAGACGTACTATATGAGCTAACAGGACACTACAACAGATCTAAATTTTAAATTTCATTTTGGGAATGAGTCATCTACGAAATTGCAACACTCTTTAAACAGAGTCCACGTGTATTGTTAATTTATCATATGGAAATTTAGGTATATGCATGTGCAATTATAAATAAATAAATAAATAAATAATGCCTGGATCTCTAGGTCCCTACGCTTACTTCATCTTTTTTCTACGACAATATATTAGTCGTACAAGTAAGCTAAAAGCATGCTATTCATTTCTTTGAAAATTAGACAAACATAGGAGTACGAAATTTGTCACAATTTAAATGGAGGAGTGCAGAAGCTATAATACTTTTATAATAATTCTTAAAATACTTCAATCCATCATACACAGCTTGATCACCATCAGGACACAAAGTCAGCCGACAGCTTGTTTGCTATTATGACATAAAGTCAGTTGTCATCATATTTGCCATCATAACATAAAGTCAGCCATCGGCTTGTTTGCCATCATGACATAAAGTCAGCCATCAGCTTGTTTGCTATTATGACACAAAGTCAGTTGTCATCTTATTTGCCATCATAACATAAATTCAGTGATCAGCTTGTTTGCCATCATGACATAAAGTCAGCCGTTGACTTGTTTACCATCATGACATAAAGTCAGCCGTTGACTTGTTTACCATCATAACATAAAGTCATGCCGTTGACTTGTTTACCATCATGACATAAAGTCATGCCGTTGACTTGTTTACCATCATGACATAAAGTCAGCCGTTGACTTGTTTACCATCATGACATAAAGTCAGCCGTTGACTTGTTTACCATCATAACATAAAGTCATGCCGTTGACTTGTTTACCATCATGACATAAAGTCATGCCGTTGACTTGTTTACCATCATGACATAAAGTCATGCCGTTGACTTGTTTACCATCGTAACATAACGTCAGCCGTTGACTTGTTTACCATCATGACATAAAGTCATGCCGTTGACTTGTTTACCATCATGACATAAAGTCAGCCGTTGACTTGTTTACCATCATGACATAAAGTCAGCCGTTGACTTGTTTACCATCATGACATAAAGTCAGCCGTTGACTTGTTTACCATCATGACATAAAGTCAGCCGTTGACTTGTTTACCATCATGACATAAAGTCAGCCGTTGACTTGTTTACCATCATGACATAAAGTCAGTCGTTGACTTGTTTACCATCATGACATAAAGTCAGTCGTTGACTTGTTTACCATCATGACATAAAGTCAGTCGTTGACTTGTTTACCATCATGACATAAAGTCAGTCCTAACTTTATTTGCCATCTTCACACAAAGTCTGCCATCTTGTGCTTGTTTGTCACCATGACATGAAGTAATCCGTGAGCTTGTTTACAATTATGACAAAGTCGGCCGTCAGCATTTTTGCCAGCATGACATAAAGTCAGCCATTAGCTTGTTTGCCATCATGACATAAAGTCAGCCGTCAGTTTGTTTGCCATTCCAATAGCATATAGAATATTGGAGAAACTTACCATATAAATTATGATGTGACGCAGCAGTGTTAGCTCGCGATGCTACTGTATTTAGCGTACCATTATGGTGACCATGCATTCCCATCCTGAAATGTAGGTAAGGAAGTTTGGTTAATTATTTTAGCGAGCGAGGAGTCTTATGGAAAGTTGACATGAATGTGGATGGATGGAAAAGGAGAGGACGACCGACATAAAAAGATGAATGGATGTTTTATGTACTAGATAAGTGGTAGATAAAAAACAAATTGTTATGACTATTCAAAATTGCTTAAATTAAGTTTATTTGAATAAATGATTTTCTATTCTATCCTATTCTATTCTACTAGCTGTCCCGGCAAGCGTTGGTTTGCCATATAAATTAATAGCACTATAAACAAATAGGAATAGAAGGGTGAAAATTTAGGGTTGTATGTATTTTTAATGACACATCATAAATATATATAAATAAAAAATTTTGCCCAAAAAATTTTTATTTATAATTCTTTATTGCACCAATATTAAAAGTAGATACATAAAAAGAGAATAATATATAACAATACATTAAAGAAAGAAGAAGGTACAGAAGGCTGTCTTATCGCTAACGCAATCTCTTCCAGACAACCTTATGAAAGAGAGTAATAATAAAAAATAAAGTAGGCGGCACGTGAGTGGAAATAAGGTAACAAAATATAATATCTATATATATATATATATGTAATAACTAGAGATGTGTCAACTCGAGTTAACTCGAGAATTCTGCCAACTCAAGTTTTCTAATTTCTAATTCGATGTATTAAAGTTCGGTCAAGTTTTCAAGGCTAGTTGCGCCCAAAAACATTAGAATTGTTCGAAAAAATAAAAAAAGAACCTTTTTATTTCAGGTAACTCGAGTCATGTTTATTACGAGTTAGCAAATCTCCAATAATAACATTACGAATTCACAATAATGAGTAACAGAACATTTTACATATATAATATACAGTATATACACCTATATGTATATATATATATATATATACATAAACTTACTTAAATAAATTAAAATGAATAAACATTGCCGAAGTTTTTGCCGATCGCTGGCTTAGACTAGATATTTACCTTGGTAATGGTACGGGGGGTAAGGTTGGGTACCCCCCAAACATAGCGGAGGATGGTCGCGTGACCATGGTGGCTTCAGGTTGCTGCAGGTGCTGCAAATAATAATAATAATAATACGTTTTTTTTTATACTCCTATGGTGTCAAACCACAGATATTATAACAAGAATAGCCATGGCAAAAAAAGCATTTAACAACAAAAAATACCTTTTACGCGCTAAAATATCAAAGACCTCACGGAAACGATTTATTAAAACCTTTATCTGGAGTATAGCCTTGTATGCGTGTGAGACGTGGACATTAAATCAAAAGGAAAGAGACAAACTGGAGGCTTTTGAAATGTGGTGTTGGAGGAGGATGGAAAGAATTAGCTGGAAGGATAAAGTAAGAAACGAAGAAGTACTACACAGGGTAAAAGAAAAAAGACAAATATTGAACACCATAGAAAATAAACGAGGAAAAATGTTAGGGCACTTGATACGGCACGATGATTACATGAAAATTATTATTGAGGGGAAAATAGAAGGAAAGAGGGGGAGGGGCAGACCAAGGAATAGCTACATCAAACAAATTGAGGACAAAATGGGAGTCGTGTCGTATCAAGAATTAAAGAGCATGATGCAAGATCGCGGAAAGTGGCAAGAGCTCCACCGACAAGAGCGTAGCTCTTAAATTATGAATGAATGAATGATGGTGTCAAACAAGCATACGGCCCATCTGATGGTAAACAGTTACCATAGCCTATACACGCCTGAATACAAAGTGCATTGCCGACCCTTAAGAAACCTTAATATACCCTTCTTGAAAAACCCCATGCTGTAGTCTCGTGAGAAAACCTTGGCAGGTAGTTCATTCCACAATGTAAGTGTACGCGGGAGGAAGCTCCTCTGAAACCGCACTGTCCGAGTCTACTTAGGTTCTAGCGTGATTGTCGCATGCCTAATCCTTGTTAATGTAAATCTAATTAAAACACCATTTATTTAAAAGAGCAACACACAAGTTTCTTGCTCGTCCTTCTTCTGAAGGTATCCGAGTTTTTTTGAGCATTTCGAATGAGTGGTAGAATAAAAAAAATGTGAATAAGTGCTTCTATTAAGTTTATTTGAATAAAGATAAGAAAACCTGGTTCTGTATAATAGTAATTTAATTGATCATCCGTCATACTCTTGAACGCATCCGTTCACGAGAATGACGGATGATTATTAAAAAAAAAGATTCTATTAAGATTTGTAATTGTATTCATATTGTATACACTATAATTAAATTCAAAAGAACCGCCAGATGTTGTTTTATTTTTTTAATTTGTGTAGGACATGATATTTTAATATATTTTTATGTTATATGTAATTGTATACTTACAGCGTAATGATTACTCTGTGCCATTGCTTCAGCTATCTGTGCCCACCGCATTCTTTCTTCTATCGATACCTAATAAAACAGACGGACAAACATCACAGCATATCTTCATAATATTATACGCGAAAGTTTGTGAGTATTGATGCACGTTTGTTACTCGTTCTCGTAAAAACTACTGAACAGATTTTGATGAAACCCTACAGTAACAGCTTATACATCAGAATAACACAGGCCATTAATTTCGCAGACGAAGCCGCAGGCATTGTAATAACAATTAGACAATATTTCATTAGATTTAATTGATCTGACACACCCTAAGAAAGTAAAATAAAAGATGTAAGTTCTATTCCTTGCACTTACATGTTCTGATAAAAAAAAACAAATATGACATGTGTTGCGGGTAATAGATACTATGTTTGGTTGAGACAATGTATATTACAGATGATAATTGACTGACAATATGTACATAGAAATATTGATCTTATATACTAAAATAGCTTTTGCCCGCGGCTTCGCTCGCGTTAATTTATCCCCTTAGGGGTGGAATTTATCAAAATCCTTTCTATGGGGATGCCTACGTCATAGTAGCGTTATGTATGCAAAGTCTCAGCCCGATCGGTTTAAAATTGACAAAGTTTCATACAAACTTACATCCCCTATTTTATCCCCTTGGGGGTAGAATTAATCAAAATCCTTTCTTAGCGGATGCCTACGTCATAACATCTACCTGCATGCCAAATTTCAGCCCGATCCGCCCAGTGGTTTGGGCTGTGCGTTGATAGATCACTATGTCAGTCACCTTTGAGTTATATATTTTTTTACAAATGCATATATAATATCAATAGGAAACACCCAGAACCATTTAACAATCATACTCATGAATACAAATGTTTGTACCGGACGAACGGACTGACATAGTGATCTATCAAGATTGCTATGTCAGTCAGTCACCTTTGAGTTATATATATTTAGATGACAATAGAAAAATGTAAGGTGGGGTGACACAGTTTAGATACGGCCGTGCTTAGTAGACAATATTGAGTTTCTCATACTAGCTGTGGTGGATAATATTATATATATTTTTTGTATGTCGGTTCTTTATGTGCAGAAAGCTATTGCATATATTCTATAATTATGTAAAATAAATCGATGCAAAAAAGGAGTAAAATAAAATCATATATTTTTCTTACGTCACAAAATTAACAACTCAAATTTATACAATACTTTTTAAAGGTAAAAAAGCTTTAAGTGGCTAGCAATATACTACGAACAATAATTGCAATTAATTATGGCTAGTGTTGTGGACTAGCCATAATTAATTGCAATTATTATATTGATGTATATAGGTAACTGTGTCCCATAACGTCTAACTAATTCTTACCTGATAAGGCGGTTGACCGACTGGCGGAGTTTTTATGGTGTTGGCGGCCATATAGTTGAACACAGGTGAACCCATGCCTGCAGTTTTCTGTTCCCGAGACCATTTTCGGCTGCAAAAATAAACATACAGAATTTGAAAATACGAGCTGAGTTTCTTGTCAGTTCTTCTCATCTCGAAATCATTCCGAACTGACGGTAGATTTGATATATCATAAGAGTCTGTAATAGACCTACATGAATGATGATATTTTGATTTTGAGAAAGAATAAATCAATAAAAACATTATCATCACTGCCAAGCTTTGAATGGAGTGTAAAAAAATATTATTTGCGAAAATTATCGTCACAGCAACGTCGCTATTGTACCTATATATCCATTATTATTATATTTATTTGTATGTATGTATGTATATATGTATTAATATGTAGTAATATGTAGGTACATGACTCAGACCGTCGGATTTCGATCCCCGTTAAAATTGGACGGGGGATCGATCGAAGGGAAGCAATAACAAGGGAAACAGCCAGAGATGTACCAACAGCCACACTATTACTAATAATAATAATCTCAGGACAATTAACACAGCGCCATCTAGACCCAAGTTAAGCTAGCTAAAACTTGTGTTATGGGTACCAGATAACTGATACACTCGACAATCGGTCGTAAAGCGGTGTGCTTCACCGCTAGACCATAGAGGTCGTCAAGGAATTAAGGATGCATACCTCCAAGACAGTAATGCAGCTAGCGTCAGTGCAATAACAAGGGCAGCAGCCAAAGATGCACCAACAGCCACTCCGACCACCTCACCATCAACCTCGCATGTACTGCCGTAATATCCCGATGTGCAACTATAATAGACAAACATGTAATGTACACACAACTCTTATAAAACAAAGTATGTTATAAAAGTCTTGGAAAGTAAACCCTTAGAAAGCGTTTGATAAACTCGTCATGCCTCTACCTGAGCAAAAATTATATCAAAGATTTTGGCTGTGAACAATTAAATTGAATAAAATATAAGCAAATCTGATTAAAAACAAATATATGTCACGACTGTTATCCCAGATGGGGTAGTCAGAAGTATTGTCAACTGTCGATGTCGTGGTTAATGTAACAAATGACATGCCCACATTTCGCTCGGTATATTTGTAGTTCATTTAAGCATTAAATATGGCAGGGGGCGAGCCTACCGCTGTCTTTTGGATTCATTTTTGGTTTGATATAAGTTTCTTTCATCGAACACTCAAAGATTTTAGACGTTGGACAGAATAGAATTCACGTTCTCTTGGATGGAATTCAGGGTAGGCTTAGGCCACTAGGCTGTCAAATTGATTAAATAATCTGATTAACTTGCCAAAATTATGTTCCATACATTAAAAAATTGCAAATAAATTTTGGCATCCCACAGGGCTCAATTTTAGGTCCTCATTTTTTTTTATATTACATTTATATACACTTATATAGACTATTGGATGTATAACCTGCAATAAGGCTGCCCATCACGGTACCGGCACACGCCGCGGTCGTTGCAGTGCGACGCGCTACAAGCTTGGCAGGTTCGTCCCGTCCGTGGCCCGCCTACGTCCAGCGTCGTGTCCGGGCATGCACATCTGAATAAAAACATTGTTTTATAGAACTGAAATGTTAAAGAAGCTAAAGACCCTCCTGATAGTAAGTGCCATACGCCAATGATATACATGAACTGTATCATGGATCACAATAGTCATACGTTACTGTCGCTGAGGGGTTTTTTATTTATATCAGGCTATTAAAAGCCTATATTATAAATACCTTATAGACTAATATACATGAGAAATAATATTAATATAAATCGTCTCTAAGGTCACGGCACTGACGACGGCAATCTGCCACGGTAGCGTCGATACACCACACCCTTCAGCCAGTAGTCCTCCTTCATGAAGGTGGGCAGCATGTTGATCCGGGACACAAACGCCTTGAAGCTCGCGTTGTGACTCGACTCCAGCTGCGTCACCCTCAATGTCAGGTTACTTTTCGTCCGTATATAGTCGACGATGACCTGTTCTTACCCATGGTGTACAGTTTACATCCATAAAAGACCTATTGACTTTTCTAAACGATACTTGGGAACATCAAGTTTGTGTTTGCTTGAAGCTCGCGTTGCGGATCGACTGCAGCTGCGTCACCCTCAATGTCAAGTACTTCCTAGTTCGTGGTCAAGACCTGGTCCTTGGACTTATAAAACTATATGCAACTCACTTGAAACCTCCCCAAGTGTTGGTGCACGTGGCCAGTTGGTGACAGTCATTCAGCTCTGGAGAAGCACACTCGTCCACATCTAAAAAACATCAAACATTAATTAAAATTCTTAATAACTCGGGATAATTCACAGCGCCATCTAGTCCTAAGCTAAGAACAGCTTGTGTTATGGGTACTAAACAACTGATACAAATATTTAAATACATTTTTTATATATACGTACATAATATACACAGAAAACATTGTGGAAAATTCTTCAAAAGACTGGCTTCGAAGGACTCACGTCTCCTCGGAATCATTCTGAACTGATGGTAGATTTGACATATCATAAGAGTCTGTAATAGACCTACATGAATAAAGATATTTTGAATTTGAGTTTTGAGCAGACGGTTAGAAGATTTCTTACCTTTCATTGGTTTGAATTTTGAATGATTTTCTATTCTATTCTGAGCAGAGGGTTGCAATTCTTACCTTTCAATGGTAACACGCTACCGGCTGGCGTGTCCACCCATAGGGCCGATGTTCCCACATTGTTGGACCTCCGCCTGATGACCCCCAGGATGTGCTTCTGTATGTCTGTCGCGATCGGAGAGCGCTGGGTCTCTGGCGTCTCTTGTATCTGAATTATACATATTTATACGTAAACTAGCTGTACACATGACTTTGTCAGTGTGGAATTTAACGCTATTTTTCTAAAATAAAAGTAGCCTAAGTGACTCCTTATTACAACAGCTACCTGCCAAGAAAAGTCCTGTCAAAATCGGTCTAGCCATTAAAGAGATTTACCGGAACAAACAGACAGACAGACAAAAATTCAAATATATACACTAGCTTTGCCCGCGGTTTCATCCGCGCTAAATTGCAATAAAAAGTACAGCCTATATGTTATTCTGATGTATAAGCTATATTACTGTAAAGTTTCATCAAAATCCGTTCAGTATTTCTTGATATACTATTGAATATAGAATGATTTTTGGATTCTACGATTTTTTTATATGTAATGTAACGATGATGTTTAATTAATAAAATATTTGGCGTATCAGAGTTCAATAAACAACACACAAATATTCAACAAGATATTCTGCGTTTTCATGTTAAGTCTTAAAGCATTAATTTCATTAATTTAACGTGTTAAAGTATTAAAACTACACAAAATTACGGAATAAAACCATGTTTGCTCATATTGTCTTTAAATTATATTATTACTCTACTCGTTCCTGGCCCGGGTTCGCACGGGTGTAGGTACATGTATTATATATATAAACCTTCCTCTTAAATCACTCTATTTGTTTATAAAAACCGCTTCAAAATCCGTTGCTTAGTTTTAAAGATTAAAGCATACATAGGGACAGACAGCGACAGCGACTGTGTTTTATACTATGTAACTAGCTATCCGCCCCCGGCTTCGCACAGGTGTACTTGTATTATATATATAAACATTCCCCTTGTATCACTCTATCTCTTAAGAAAAACCACTTCAAAATCCGTTGCGTAGTTTTAAAGATTAAAGCATATATAGGGACAGACAGCGACAGCGACTTTGTTTTATACCAGGGATGTTATGGATATGAAATTTCGGATACGGATAGGTTTCGGATATAGAAATGATTATTATACCGGATACGGATGCGGATATTAAATTATTTCGGATTATCCGTTAGTTTCGGATAATTTCGGTTACGGATAAAAATGTTTTAAGGAATTTCAAAAGTAAAATACAAATAGCTAATAAAATGGTTACATAACGTGTCTCAATTAGGCTCCGCCCCTATTCGATATTGTCCGAAACTTTTATTTCGGATTCGGTTACGGTTACGGATATTTTTTATATCGGATATCCGATAGTTTCGGTTACGGTTACGGATATTTTTTTATATCGGATATCATATTTTCGGATATATTTTTTCATATCGGATATCCGATAGTTTCGGTTACGGTTACGGATATTTTTTATTTCGGATATCCGATATTTTCGGTTACGGTTACGGATATTTTTTCATATCGGATATCCGATAGTTTCGGTTACGGTTACGGATATTTTTCATATCGTATATCCGATAGTTTCGGTAACGGTTACGGATATTTTTTTATATCGGATATCCGATAGTTTCGGTTACGGTTACGGATATTTTTCTATATCGGATATCCGATAGTTTCGGTTACGGTTACGGATATTTTTTCATATCGGATATCCGATAGTTTCGGTTACAGTTACGGATATTTTTTCATATCGGATATCCGATAGTTTCGGTTACGGTTACGGATATTTTTTCATATCGGATATCCGATAGTTTCGGTTACGGTTACGGATATTTTTCATATCGGATATCCGATAGTTTCGGTTACGGTTACGGATATTTTTTCATATCGGATATCCGATAGTTTCGGTTACGGTTACGGATATTTTTTCATATCGGATATCCGATAGTTTCGGTTACGGTTACGGATATTTTTTTATATCGGATATCCGATAGTTTCGGTTACGGATAGTTTCGGACGGTTACAGAGCTCCCTTACATCCCTGTTTTATACTATGTACTGATGATGATAAACTTACCAATATAGTGTAATTCACAAACACGCCCTGGTTGTCCTCATCTCCGCGGTGGACAGAGTTCACTGATCCGCTGACGAAGTCATCGGAAAACGGAGTCATAGAGAAGGCGGAGTCGATCTGCAAATCATATTCACTCTTACATTAATAAAAACATTAAATAACTAAATGTACCAAAATCAAAAACAAATTCAAATATCATTCCTTCTGTCTATCTTGCTTTCACGCCAAAACTACTGAACAGATTTAAATGAAATTTAGTACACAGATAGGCCAGACCCTGAGAAAGGCCGTAGGCTACGTTTGATTTCGAAAAAGGGGTTGTAGAGGGTTGAAAGGGGAGATGAAAGATTATATGGAAGGGTTGTTATTTTACGCGGACGAAGTCACGGGCACAGCTAGTAATTTATAAATCTTAAACATGTCTTTTGGAAAATAAAATCTGTGTATATATATATAACTAGCTGTCCCGGCAAACATTGTTTTGCTTTAAAATAAAAAAAAAATTTAGGGGTGGACTACCCCTAACATTTAGGGGGATGAAAAATAGATGTTGGTCGATTCTCAGACCTACTCAATACGCTCACAAAATTTCGTGAGAATCGGTCAAGCCGTTTCGGAGGAGTATGGGAATGAAAACTGTGACACGAGAATTTTATATATAAGATAAATAAGATTTTAAAAGTGAAATAACATTAAGTATATGCCGATACACGCGGACGAATAAAAATAATAATAATCTCAGGACAATTCACACAGCGCCATCTAGACCCAAGTTAAGCTAGATAAAGCTTGTATTATAGGTACTAGACAACTGATACAAAATACGTATACAATTTTTTTTCGTAATTCGTGGCTGTATAAACCGATACGAGAGGCCTACCACAGGCCCGACAAGGGAAACTATTGGCGTTTTATTAATAATAACTATAATGTACCATGTGAGAAGCAATAAATAAAAAAATAATTAATTAATGGTTAACTTACCGCTCGGATTGCTTCGTAACTCAACTGTTGGTAAGGATCAGACTCTTTATCCGCTAGCTTCGCATCCCACGCCACCTGTAATTACAATATAATAAAACAATTTACACAGCGCCATCTAGTTCCAAACTAAGAATAATAACCGTGGACAATTCATACTTGGTTCAATGAATGAAAACAATATAGGTACAGGTGGATGATATATTCTTTTCGAGAACTGAACGGTACAGAACCAGATGGAATCGAATCTTAGATATTTTTTTTCGGACTGCTCTAATGCTGTTGGCCGCAGCTGGCCTTTACAGCTTCACCGGATGATAGGGGGCGAGTGCAGATGGCACAAACCAAAAGGACTTATGGATCAGCTGAAGGCCAATCCCGCCTGACGGATACGACTTTAGTCTGAGGGGGTTCGCTAGGGGTTCGAACCTCGGCTCAGGCCGTAGTAACATCGATCCCCGTTTGAATTAGACGGGGGATCGATCGGATGGGGTTCAGATACAAATCCGTTTGACTATATAAAAACACAAAAAAATCTTAATAGCGCGTTTTACATTTCATAGTAATGCCATCTAGCGGCATCAGTGGAAACTGTCCAAGACATTTTTATTTACTAAATTCTACAAGTGGGTAGTCCTAAGCAGAGCTTGTGTTACAACTATTACAAATGCTAAGCACAGCGTGTGTTATGGGTACTAGACAACTGATAGAAATATTTAATACATACAATAATTATATTTAATCTACAGCCTAAAAATAAATTTCAAACTTTTAGCATTAAAAATAACGATACTTCGACACAATCTTTCATCTACCCTTTTAACCCCTTATAACCCTTTTAACCCCTTACAACCCTTTTAACCCCTTACAACCCTTTTAACTCCTTACAACCCTTTTAACTCCTTATAACCCTTTTAACTCCTTATAACCCTTTTAACTCCTTACAACCCTTTTAACTCCTTATAACCCTTTTAACTCCTTATAACCCTTTTAACTCCTTACAACCCTTTTAATCCCTTACAACCCTTTTATCGCAATAAAATGTAGCCTACGTCCTTTCTCAGGATCTAGACGATTACTCTTCAACCTCTCTGACACCGGCGCCACTTTCATACTTCCTCTAATGTATTCATTCTTTATCTTATCCATTCTTGTCACACCACACATCCACCTCAACATTCTCATTTCAGTTGCATGCAGTCGTCTTTCATCCGTCGCCTTTAAGCCTTAAAAAACCTTAATATACCTTTCTTAAAATTTGGGGATAGACGGACAGGCAGAGTTACTTTCGCATTTATAATATTAGTAAGGAGAGACCATGACGTAGAATAAATACCTTTCTATCGTAGAGCCTGTCGACCCTCAAATTGAGAAGCAGGGCGACCACACGGCGGCAGGGATCCCGGTGGATGCGACGAGCGTAACCCGGCCGGCACTGACAACTGGATATACCTGTGGGGAAGATAGTTTTTTTTTTTAATTAAAATATATAAAACGTACAATTACGGATTCAAAATCCGGCTCGAAGGACCAACTTAGATGGTAGATTATGACTTTGAATTAAAGAAGAAATCTGTGGTATTTTATTCACCTGCCTGAGAAAGGTTTGAATATCCCCAGAAACCAGCAGAAGACTGTGTAATGACAGAAATAGGAAGGAGAAAGCGGGACTCACCGACCGGGCTAATTTGAGTTGTAAATTGAAGACCTTGGGTGCACCCTTCGTCCTTGACTCCGACTCCACACACCACCAGCAGTTTATTTCACACTTATAATGCACTGGACACGTGAATTCACACAGATTTTCTTGTTAAATCACAATTAGAATATGACTAATGTCAACTCAGGTATTAACGGCAGCCATAATGAATTGCACATTTTTCTTTTTTTCGGGGTTCACACGCTCACGCAGTTAGCACCGGTTGGCGGGAATATTTGAATTTGGAATTAATTGAACGAATGAAATATCTTCTTATTGATTAATACAATGATATAGGGATTGGAAAAGGATGTCAGAACAATTAGGTTGTTTGGGCTATCGTCAGGTGCATGGACCTGTAGCACTGCGACCTACATAGTTTTCGCCCTTTTTAGAGTTCGCTACCTAGACCCGTCAGGGACGAGAATTGAAGGATATTCTTAGGAGCGATGGTTTTTATCTCCTCAGGATAGAGTGTATACTTTCCAAAGGAAATACTTCGTTTATGCATGAGTGGGCTACCACATAGGATGTGTAGTGGCGTTTCCTCTTCAGATTGGCAAAATCTGCAGATTTCTGTTGTGCACCTGTGGTTTACCATATGTAAGGAACTTGTCAGTAATATGTGATGATGTAGTAATTTTAAGGTAATCGTATTTCTATTCCAGAGTACTAAGATGTCACGCCTCTTACCCTGAAATTTCACTGCCTAATCTGCACCCTACAACCGAAACAACTTACAAAGCAAGCTGCTTGGCTGAAATAGGTGAGACTGAGGTACACACGCAGTTGACAAAGTATAAAGTTTATATATTTATGTTATGTTCAGATATTAGGTCTTTTGAATGTGTTAATCCTGGCATTTCTTGCCAGTGATTCAGTGCTTCTCGTTTGGTTATTAATTTGAGATGTCCCAGTTTTAGGCAACGAGGCACACCACAGAAGGGTTCGGGGCCCAGTTGGACGGTTTTTGCCCCTAACATTTGGTATTTACAACAATTGGTACTTACCAACTTCTGTTCTGCACATCTCGTTCTGTGTTTGGTCGCATGTGGAGTCATCTCCCACGATGCAAGTGTCGATTCTGTAAAAATATATATTATCTTAATTTTGTCAAGACTAAAGTAATAAAGTAGTATTGATTTTTGTAGAAAAAATCTGACTTAAAATTCATAGCGCTGACAATGTTATATGATTGGATAATGATCGAGTGCGTAGCGGTTTCTATGTTGATTGTTGCATGCCTAATCCTTGTTAATGTATATTTACTTAGAACAACATTTATTTAAAAGAGCAACACACAAGTTTCTTGCTCATTATTCTGTGTGTCTATTTGTTCCGGTTTATCTCTGAAACTGGCTGGACCGATTTTGACGGGACTTTTATTGGCAAGTAGCTGATGTAATAAGGGGTAACTTAGGCTACTTTTATTCTAGAATAATTCTCTAATTATCTTTTCTGTTAAATTCGCGGACGAAGTCGCGCGTACAGCTAGTTCTATATAAAGTAGAAGCTTTCTAAACTAACCTGACAGTGGGTTGTGGTCGACGGTAGGTCTGCTGTGGTCTATGCACTTGGGGCTGGTGCTGCCTCCGTGGGGGCGGCGGTGGGGGCTGCGGCACATCATCAGCTGGTATCGCAACCCCTGTACCTATTGCTGGACCTAGAGGTGGAGCGGCCAACGGTGGTACTAGAAAAAAAAAGAAATATTTTTAATACAAATAAACATTTTATTATTATACTAGCTATGCCCGCGATTTCACCTGCAATTTCAATATAAAATATAGCCTACGTGTTCTGATGCATAATCTATATTACTGTGAAGTTTCATGAAAATCCGTTCAATAGTTTTTTGTGTGAAAGAGTAACAAACATCCATACTCACAAACTTTCGCGTTTATAATATTACTATCTTTTACCCGCGGATTCGCTCGCATTGAATCCATTAAATATATTTTTTTTAATAAAATCTGTCCTATGTTCATTCTAATACCTTCAAAAACATGTGTACAAAATTTAATGATGATCGGTTCAGTAGTTTTTGCGTGAGAGCGTAACAAACAACCATACTTTCACAGTTATAATATTAGTACGGATAATTTTATATAAAAACTAGCTTTTGCCCGCGGCTTCGCTCGCGTTAATTGATCCCCTTAGGGGTGGAATTTATCAAAATCCTTTCTTAGGGGATGCCTACGTCATAGTAGCTTTATGCATGCAAAGTCTCAACCCGATGGGTTTAAAATTGACAAAGTTTCATATAAACTTTCATCCCCTATTTTATCCCTTTGGGGGTAGAATTTATTAAAATCCTTTCTTAGCGGATGCCTCCGTCATAACATCTACCTGCATGCCAAATTTTATCCCGATCTGTCCAGTGGTTTGGGCTGTGCGTTGATAGATCACTACGTCAGTAACCTATATATTTAGATTTTATTTACTATAAATAAATATTAACCGGATTGTGGTAGATTCTGCACATGCGTCGGCCTGATGCTGACAGGAACTGAGGAGCTGTCGAAGAGATTCAGGTAGGTCCTCTTCCCATCAATGGATACGAAGCCCTGCTCCCCAGATGGTGACACGATGATGTCGTCATGGTCCCCATGGCCTGACAATGGGTTGATATTCTCAATGTGTACTGAAACAGATAGATAGATAATAATTTTTATTTGCTAAAAAAGACTCATCATATTGGTGCAGTCCAGCGGAGCCGTTAGGGTAAATAAAATTGTTGATAAAACAAAATTGTAGAATATAATAATAATTATGGATCGACTTATATATAGCAGCAATCTGAACAAATATGAATATATTATTTATTTGTATGTATTTGGTAAACACATATAGGCTTAATTATAACATCACATAACAAGTACCTATAATATAACAATTCAATAAGAGGAAACCTGCATGTGTGAGCTACAGCAATACAAAACTGGTACATAGCTCAGTGTGGAGAATCACTTACGGAGCAAACACTGATTTTCAGCCATATCCTCGAGGGTGAATAATATATTTTTATTTTTTAAAAACAAAATAAACTGAACGAAATCATCATCTGCTTCTTCCTTATCCCATTTATTTGGGGTCGGCGTAATATGTTTTTCGCTTCCATTCATCCCTGTTCGCAGTCATTGCGTCATTTACTTCCTTTCTTACCATATCATCTTTCACACAGTCCATCCATCTCTTTTTTGGCCTTCCTCTGCCCTTATAACCATCCACATTCATAAACTGAACGAAATAATGTGAATTAAATATTAAAATAATTAGATATGACCTGTGTAACTTTACTTATCATGCACATTGAGCAAATTACATTATATCTTTTAAAATTACAGCCTACGTGGCATTCTGATGTATAAACTATATTATTGTAAAGTTATAGCCCAAGAGCCCACGACGGCCAGACTTACATCTTATTAGTAAATGTGAAAGTTGTTGTATGTGTGTCCCCAACACAGGTAAGAACGATCCCCAAATATGAAACCTGGATCGTGGTTCCTTTGGCAGGTAACAGGTAACAAAGGTGTAAAAATTGTCATATCAAATTCGTTAAGAAACTCCATATTTTCATATATTGTTCGTAGCCTTATTATAACTTGTTCTGCTCATTGCCAGACACTTAGTGTGGTTCCAACCCCCCGCCGGACCCCCCTAAACTATACTATTTTATAAATAAACTTACGTTATTTTAATAAAGCTAAGCTATATATATTACTGAGAGAACTATTAAACTGAGTTTCCTAAATTGACAGACAGTTTTCTTGGTTCTTCCTACCAGACTCATTGAACCCGTATATTGGGTAACAACGGTGTATACGAATTTCATATTAAATTCGTTATTTTAAGAAACTCCATTTTTTCACATATTGCTCGTAACAGTATTATAACTTGCTCTGCTCATTGCCAGACACTTAGTTTGGTTCCAACCCCCCGCCGGACCCCCCTAAACTACATTAGTTTATAAATATGCAATAGGAACCACGATCCAGGTTTCATGTTTGGGGATCGTTCTTACCTGTGTTGGGGACACACACACAATTTCACGTTTACTAATAAGATGTATGTCTGGCCGTCGTGGGCTCTTGGGCTATTATTATGTAAACTGTCTGGAATATAATGGTAAATGTCAAGTAAGTGTGATACATGCGAAGTTGCGCGAGTCAGCTAGTACATAATATGTTTATAGTACACTAGCTGTGCACACGACTTCGCTCGCAACGGAAACCCTAATATGGATAATTTTCCCCGTTTCCACAACATTGTTCACTATTGCCTCGCTCCTATTGGTCGTAGCGTAATGTTATATAGCTTAAAGTCTTCCTCGACAAATGGACTATCCAACACGAAAAGAATTTTCAATTCGAACCAGTAGTTACTGAGATTTGCGCGTTCAAACAAACGAACAAACTCTTCAGCTTTAAAATATTAGAATAGATTCGTAACGAATACATCAGCTAGTTTCCAATTATATAAAAAAAAAACTTTTATCTATAGATCACTTACCAGAAGCTCCCTTTTCTCCAGGACCTTGAATAGCAGACACTGTCACATCGAAGATCTCCCCATATCCTGGTGGCAGACGAGTCTCAGGAGCTGTAATAACTGATGCCTCCGGTCTACTATATCTTGAACCGTGGGGTTTGAAGTCCGTATCATCGAGGACTATTCCAGGACGAGGTCTGTATGGATGGTATGGGATGCCTTGTGATGCTGGAAAGAAAGACATGTAATTTGTAATATTTATTGGTATTCAATTCAATTCAAAATATCTTTATTCATGTAGATCTATTACAGACTCTTATGATATGTCAAATCACGGTACCGTCAGTTCGGAATGATTTCGAGATGAGAAGAACTGAAAAGAAACTCAGCTCGTATTCTTTTCAAATAAATGTTGTACATGTTTACAATAATACAGATTCATTTTTAAATCCAAATTTGGGTGAATAGGGTGATCACCAGCATATGCTATAGCAAAAGCAAATCTAATCTGTGTTCGTAACCCGAACAGACCAATCCCCACAAGCAGCATTCGAGTATGACAGACAAGCCAGCCATTGCACTCAACCATATTAGAGGGAGCACATCGACCCGGCCCACCACGCCGCCACAAGTTTGAACTTTATAGCGAGCATGACTGTTTCAAGTTACTCCACTACGTCATTTATATTATTTACAGCATAGGCTGTAACTGTTGAGACTATGCTGTAATCTATACTGATTTTTATGTTAATGTGTAACATCAGCTCACATTTCGTTGGGGTTTTTAGCATTTTTATTAATCTGTACCTATAAAAAGGTTAATGATTGTAAAGTTATCTGTGTTCTCTTGCTCTTTTTGCCTCTGCTTCAAAATATAAGTCCATCAAAATATATTTATACAAATACAAGAAATCCTGTTGTATTTATAAACAAATGATATGAATTATCACTACAACTGCCAGAGTAAGTCTGCACTATATTTTATCACCAACAAGTTGGGATTACTTCCACTGAATCCACTGCCTGACTAAGTCTGCATATTATTTTATCACACTTTTTATTTAGTATAATATAAACATTAGTAAATCTATTTTATTTTTATTTTTACGCGCTATTTTCTGCTGCGCTCTTCCCGTGGGCTACAGTTTACTTCCTCTCTGATATTTTAGTTATCTACAGAGGAAACATTTTCAAAATTCATTGCAAACAAATTTTATAACAAATGTCTTTGTAATTTGTAAACATGCAAAGGCATATTTTAAAAGAATAAGAGCCGAATTTCATGTCAGATCAGTTCGGAGTTCTTTCGAATTTTCTTAGTTCGAAAGAACTTCGAACTGACTGTAGGTTTCGACATAAGAGTCTGTAATAGACCTACATTCAAATTAGACTAAAAAAATCGAGTGATCTTGAAAGAATTTGCTACAGACTCCGCGTTATCTTCATCCAGTACTCTGGCATGTCACTTTCGAAATGAAAATACATAATAATAATAATAATAATCTCAGGACAATTCACACAGCGCCATCTAGACCCAAGTTAAGCTAGCTAAAGCCTGTGTTATGTGTACTAGACAACTGATACAAATACATAGATAATTTTTTTATAAACATACATATTATGAACGCCCTTAGGTGTTAAGTTCGCCATATGTACATTTATATATTGTATTTGTGCATTAAAGTTTAAATAAATAAATAAAATAATATTATACATAGAGAACACCCAGACCGATACAAACAATCATATTCATGAATACAAATGTTTGTGCCATGCGAGGAATCGAACCCGCGACCTTCGGTCGTAAAGCGGTTTGCTAGACCGCTAGACCACCGAGGTCGTCAAACATGAATTCTTCGACAACGGGCATCACAATGTTTTGTGTGCTATCCCTGGTGTTGATAAAATATTGACGACGGATACTACATTCCATCTGGTGGTCAGCTAATTTGCCATTAAAATTGCAGAAAAAATATTAAAAAATATACTTACATGGTAAAGGCTGAGAATTAATCATTGATGCAATGATATCAGCACCAGTTGTTGATGATTCATTGATGATCGGCGCATGGGTGATTAGACCTTCCGTAGGCGTTGCAGAAGCAATGAATAGTACAGGTGTAGTCTTACTTTCAGATATAGAAGACTGTATATACGATTCTGTAGTAGTTTCATTTTTAGTTTTGTTTTGCACTTTCTCCTCATTAATTTTAAATTTCTCTTTTTCAAGTTTAACTTTGTCTATTGGAGTGTCTTTTTTCTTTTCTTTCTCTATTTTAATAGGTTTCTCCGTTTTTTGTTTCTCTGTTGTAGTTCTTTCTGTTGTTGTGGTGCTAGTTGTTGGTTTTTCAGTTTGCTTTTTTGTTGTAAGTTCTTCTGTTGTCGTTCGTTCTGTGGTTGTAGAACTAGTTGTTAATTCTGTTGTGGTGGAAGTTGTTGATGTGGTTGTAGACGTTGTGGTATCAGAAACAGTTGTTATTTTATCTTCTTCTTCTTCTTTTTCTGTTTGTTCAACATTAGCAACAGTTTTCTTATCGTCATCTTGAATAGAAACTGTCTCATCGTGATGAATATTATTTTCTGAATTACTTTCATTCTCATTTGCTATTACTTCTTCCTCTGGCTTTGTATCTTCTACTTCAGGAAGATCTAGAGGTGGAGGTGGTAAAGAAGGTTTATACATAGGTAGACCAGGGTTTGGTCTTCTCGTTGGAGGACGAGGTCTTGGCCTCTGCCAAGGTGGCATAGGTCTATATAACCCTGGTCTGTGAGTCATCGGTGGAACAATTTGCTCAGGTAAATTGACACCATGATGCGGAGGTCGATCGAAAGGATAAGGTGGTGGCGTCTTCGTTGGATGGTAAGCATGAACAACCGGAGTTACTGGCTTCTCGAAGTCAGCAATAGGCTGCACCTCAGATATACGAGGCGGGCCACGATTGTTGATCCTAGAAGCCACCGGTCTGCTCGGTCGGCCATTGAGGAGTTGAGAGTTAACTTGCACATTTACATTTCCATTTAAAAGTTTTACTATTCCCGTGATTATGTTCTGAATTTCCGTGTTTTGTCTGCCCTGATCTTTATAGGTCGCTGTCGCAAAAATCGGCTGAACTGCAGTAGGCCTGATCCTGGGTCCCGGTAGGCTCAGCGCTCGCGCTATCGGGACCCTTTTGGCTTCCCCCGGAAACCTAAACTCTAATCTATCACCGAAACCATCAGATGACATGAAAATATCATCATCTCTACTTCTAATAAAGTTTATAGTCTTTGTTGGATGGATATCGTAATATTTCCTCTTGTGGTGTAATTCTAGGTCGTTGTCTATCTCATTATTCGATGATGGTATCTCATCTATATTGACAGACCTGGTCTCCCGATCAGGGTCTGCAGACCTAGCTACAATGACGTGGTTCTCATTTTCTTCGTTGCTTATTAAGTCTTCGGGTGGCATATCATCAACGTCATCGTACCGTGCACTGGGTTCTATGCTGAATGAGAAATTTTCCGTCTGACTCGTTTGCAGAATCAAATCTGACAAGCGAGGATCCGTGGCCGACTTTGGTGATAACTGGGATATTGTGTATAATTCTTCGTAACCTGGAATGAGAAGAAATTCATTCGTTAGAATATAAATAATCTTTATTCAAATATACCTAAACTAGCTGTTCCACTAGCTACCTCTGTAATATATCTACTATATATATATAACTAGCTACTATATATATAACTAGCTGTTCCCGCGGCTTTGTCCGCGTGGAATTTAACTTTATTTTTCTAAAATAAAAGTAGCCTAAAGAACTACAAATTATTATGTTCGTCTTAATTTATTCATTCCATTAGGTACTGATAGGTTCAAACTAATACATTTACATCCTGCATCATCCCTTATTTTATCCCCATGGGGGTTGAATTTATGAAAATCCTATTTAAGCGAACGTCTTCGTCATAGTAGCTCCAATCATGAATTTCAGTTCAATCAGTCGAAAATCTAAACAGATTTATACAAACTTTCATCCCCTTAAGAGTGGAATTTATCAAATCCTATCTTAGGGGATGCCTAAGTCATAGTAGCTTTATGCATGCACAGTCTCAGCCCGATCGGTTTAAAATTGACAACGCGTCATACAAACTTTGATCCCCTATTGGGGGTAGAATTAATCAAAATCCTTTCTTATCGGATGCCTACGTCATAACATCTACCTGCATGCCAAATTTCAGCCCGATCCGTCCAGTGGTTTGAGCTGTGCGTTGATAGATCACTATGTCAGTCACCTTATGTTTAGATTTCTGTAGTTCTATATTGTTATATATACTATGTAATCATTTGTAATAACTGACATGGCAGTCGACGAGAACTTGAACTGAGATGATTTACTGGTATATTATTTATGCTATTAAAAAGTAAATCAATTGAGAACCTCTTTTCTTGTTAGTTTTTTAAAAATAAGAGGAAATGTGTAACACATTTTTACAAAAACATAATATGAATGTAACCTTTGGTAAATTTAATAGGTGTTGTGTTGTGACCAGTAATGATACAATAGAAATGTGTAATACGATGTTGAAACTGTCGTATGTTTGAATGTATTGCGCGACGTAGAGAACAATGCAACAGCAGACGGACAGACAGACAATTATAAAACAACATGCAATTCTTAGATACAAAAATTCTCTTTTCAATTGAAGTTTTGTACATAGTTAAAAATCAACCATTATTTTATTTATTTTATTAATTAGTGTTAAATTAACTATGTCAAAAATCAAAGAATTTCTTATTTATTTTATTCATTAGTATTCACAGATACAGGGTCTGTGCTGTTGTTAGTTCTGACCATATTGTTATCTGTGTTTCTGACATTTATATTTTTTTTATAATTTCGTATTCCACATTTAAATTAAATTGTAGAATAGAATAGAATAGAAAATCATTTATTCAAATAAACTTACATTGAAGCACTTTTGAATAGTCTTCACATTTTTTTAATCTACCGCTCATTGGAAAGCTGTCTCATCACAAGAAGAACGAGCAAATTTAAATAAAAAACAAGATTTTTTATTTCCAAAAAATAATTTTTAATGCAAAATAGATTATTTAATTATTAACTAATTATATCAATATAATACAATAACTGAAATATATTATTAAAAGGGGTCCCTTTAGGCAAAGTTCCGAAGATACTGGCAGCGTTCCCTCTTTGAATGGCTAGACTAATTCTTTGTCCGAGGTAGCTGCCAGCTCTTCGGTCTTCTGTGATGTGATTGAAAGAAGCAAGATTGAAATTACAAAATTAGAATTATGCTAATCCTAATGCTAATAATGTTATAAATACGAAAGTGTTTGTTACTCTTTCACGCAGAAACTACTGAACGGATTTTTATAAAACTTTACAGTAATATAGCTAATCATCAGAATAACATATACGCTACATATTTTATTGAAATTTAACGCGCGTGAATCCGCGGGCACAGCTAGTGTTTTATAATTAAAACTAAATAAGATTAAAATTACAAAATCTAAATTATAGAATTACAATTATAAAATTTGTTCAGCAGTGGACATCTTCTATATAATAATAATAATATAATAATAATAATCTCAGGACAATTCACACAGCGCCATCTAGTCCCAAGTTAAGCTAGCTAAAGCTTGTGTTACGGGTACTAGATAACTGATACAAGAACATAGATAATTTTTTTTTTCATAAATACATACATAATATACATAGAAAACACCCAGACCGATACAAACAATCATACTCATGAATACAAATGTTTGTGCCGTGCGACGAATCGAACCAGCGAACATCGGACGTAAAGCGGTGTGCTAGACCGCTAGACCACCGAGGTCGTCAAAATAAAATATAAAAACATATACATGCACATAATTATTCTTTTGCATATATATATGTGTATGTATATATTTTATAATTATATGTGTGTATTAATATATATGTAGCTATTTTAATATAACTTCTCACTATTTATTATTGTTACACCTCGACCAGACTCAAGTCAATCACTCCTCTCTATCCTAAGGTTGGCTGCAAGAAATCGCTTCTCAACGATAAGGCCGGCCATTGTTGCCTCTTCCTTTTGAGAATGTTGTATGTTTATACATATTTATATATTAATAATGTATAAAAATGTTGGTTTGCATTTTAAGAGAGAACAATAAAGAAATTTCATTTCATTTTTCATTTCATTTCAATTCTTCCGGGCTGAGATGGAGATTATGATGACGAGCTAGTGTTTACAGTGACGTAAACACTAGTTCACTCAGTAAAAAAATTTCAACCCATCAAATGCACAAAGGACCCGTTAAAATGATGACGTAACAGTAGAACAAGTAGATCTCAATAATACAGACAGACGGACGGTTGACAATGCACTTTCACTAGTAGATAACGTAACGGTTACTGAATATAGTACTTGTTAGTTGTAGTATAACTTAACTTAATGTGCTATCGTTGTCGTCGATCTCTTATTGTATTAATTTACTGATAAAGGATATAACAGAATAGCAGAGAGGGTGGACTCACTGCCCTCACTGAGTTATAGACTAGAGATGTGCTAACTCGTAGAATAGAATAGAAAATAAAATCATTTATTCAAATAAACTTAATGTAAGCACTTTTGAATAGTCAACATTTTTTTAAATCTACCGCTTATTCGGAAAGCTGTCTCATCACAAGAAGAATAAGCAAGAAACTTGTGTGTTGCTCTTTTAAACAATCCTTGTAAGTTCACATTTTACAAGTCGAAACGTGTGAATACAAACTACCAACCAGCACTAATTTATTTAGGCTCAAATATAAAAACACAATAAGATTAAATCAGTCGTAGTGATAAGAGCAGACCAGTCCCTACAAGCAGCATTCGTTCACGAGTATGACGGATGAGCCAGCCAACACTGCGCTCGACCATATTTTAGGGAGCCCAATGACCCGGCCCACCACGCCGCCACATGTCTGGACATTTTAGTCATAAACATAACTCGAGTTAAAATTCAGGTAACTCGAGTTGACTCGAGTAAAATGGAATAAAAAGTTTATTTTTTAGAACAATTCTAATCTTTTTGGGCGCAGCTAGTCTTGAAAGCTTCACCGAACTTTAGGGGGCGAGTAGAAATGGCACTTTAAAGCCGAGCAAGGACTTATGGAATGCATGATCATTTTATTAATAACATAATCGGACGATAATGCGAAAAAAAATGATAACAACCTCAAATGAATATTGAAATATTTGTGACGAGTGAAAATTGTATGATATGAAATGATCGCAAAGTTTCATGTCATTGTCAGTTCGATGACAGAATCATGCTCTCGCTCTATCACTTGATTCATTCATTTACCAGTTGAATTCTTCCAACTCACGTTGACACATCTCTATTATAAACCATATAATAAATGATATAAATACTTAATTTTTTTTGTAAATACGTACATAATATACATAGAAAACACCCAGAGCGATACAAGCAATTATACTCATGAATACAAATGTTTGTATCGTGCGAGGAATCGAACCCGCGACCATCGGAAGTAAACTAGTGTGTTAAACCTCCATAAGGTCAATATTTATTAAGTTTATTAGAATAAAGATTTGAAAAATATTATTTATAATATATATAAAGATTATTACTTTATATATTATTTACCTCTCTCGTGCGAGAGAGGTAAATACCTTCATTTACCATAAAATTATTCTTCTAATACGAACCGACCCGTTAAAATGATGACATAACAGTAGAACAAGTAGATCTCAATAATACAGACAGACAGACGGTTGACATAATATTATGGTAAATAATGAATAATTTTATGGTAAATAAAGGTATATAAATAACATATATTAAACACGAAAATTTAAAAATAAATATATATTTTATATTGAAATTAAACGCAGACAAAGTAGCCAACACTAGTATGTATGTAGTGAGTGAATAACAGAAATACTCTAGTGTAGGCGCGGTCTGTATGTAGGTCTGTCCGTTATATCTCGTGTACCCAGTGTAATACGTTAGTGAATGATTGATATGTCTCAGGTTTTTTTTAATTGGTGGTAATGGTGCAACGGCTGCGCAAACGGTTTTTTTTCGGACTACTCTAATGCTGTTGGCCGCAGCTGGCCTTTACAGCTTCACCGGACGATAGGGGGCGAGTGTAGATGACACTCCAAACCAAAGGAAGGACTTATGGAGCGGCTGAAGGCCAACTCCCGCCTGACGGATACGACTTTAGTCTGAGGGCACCACTAGGGGTTCGAACTCGGCTCAGGCCGTCGTAATTTCGATCCCCGTTTGAATTGGACGGGGGATCGGAGGGGGCGCTAACGGTATCCGCTGGCGGGGCACCAGTGGAGGATGATAAGGTGAACATGAGGTCAGGTCAGTTAGGTATGGTTTCCAGGGGGAACTGCGTGGTGATTATGATAATATGGTACTTGTTCTGATGCATAAGCTGTATTACTGTAAAGTTTCATCAAAATCCGTTCACTAGTTTTGCGTGAAAGAGTAACAAACATACATACTCACAAAATTTCGCGTTTATAATATAGCTACTCGCCCCGGCTTTGCCCGGGTGTACATGTATTATACA